GTGTGTGTGTAAATGTGTGTGTGTAAATGTGTGTGTAAATGTGTGTGTAAATGTGTGTGTAAATGTGTGTAAATGTGTGTGTGTGTAAATGTGTGTGTAAATGTGTGTAAATGTGTGTGTAAATGTGTGTGTAAATGTGTGTGTAAATGTGTGTAAATGTGTGTGTAAATGTGTGTGTGTAAATGTGTGTGTGTAAATGTGTGTGTAAATGTGTGTGTGTGTGTGTGTAAATGTGTGTGTAAATGTGTAAATGTGTGTGTAAATGTGTGTGTGTAAATGTGTGTGTAAATGTGTGTGTGTGTGTAAATGTGTGTGTAAATGTGTGTGTGTAAATGTGTGTGTGTGTGTGTAAATGTGTGTGTAAATGTGTGTGTAAATGTGTGTGTGTAAATGTGTGTGTAAATGTGTGTGTGTGTGTGTGTAAATGTGTGTGTGAATGTGTGTGTAAATGTGTGTGTAAATGTGTGTGTAAATGTGTGTGTAATGTGTGTGTGAAATGTGTGTGTGTGTAAATGTGTGTGTGTGTGTGTAAATGTGTGTGTAAATGTGTGTGTAAATGTGTGTGTGTAAATGTGTGTCATATTCTCCAGCAGTTTCATAAATCTGCTCCATCACCAAATCTTCAACCAACAAACTCCACAGAAGATAAATAATCTTCATGAACAATTGATCCACAAGGATCAAGAGAAGAAAGAACAAAACTTAAAGGAAACGACGACGAGACACATGAGTCACACAACAAACTCAAGTCATGTTCTGATCCTGAAGAAAACAGAAGGAACTTGTTCACTCGGACTCGTTCTAGAATTAAAACTAAAAATGGATTTCATGATGTGGAGATTTGTACAAACACAGAGATTTGTGACATTTAAATGCTCCACGTCTCTAGGAGCATAAGATTTGGTGATGGGGCAGATTTATGAAGATGCTGGAGAATATGACACATTTAAACAGAAAACATTAACCAAAAGTTCCACAAACTACAGCGGGACACTTCAGACGATGGGAAAAAGTTCTGTTGACTTCACACTGAGAAACTGTCTCCTTCTCTGTTCCTGCTGCTCTGAGCCTCGTCGTTCTGTTCTTAAACTGTTTGTATCACCTGCTCTGTATGATCCACTTTCCCGTTTTGTCTCTGTGAAAAAGTGGGGCCTTTGTCTCATTTTAAATTCACGTTAGTTTCATGTTAAACAGTTTTATTTTGAAAGGGGACTTGCTTTGCTTTGGGAGTTACCTGGATACTCACCTGGAGGATAAAGGCAAAGCAGATGTCAGCGATTACAGAGACACTTCTGAGTTACTTATTTTTTGTCTATAGAGGCTTTGCACCGTCACGTGACCCTACAGCACCGGTACCTACGCCGCCATGACACCGGACACACTATGTCACTGACTTCAGCAGCGTCGGACAAACATGGGCAGGTTTTGTTGTGTATTTGGTTGTTCTAGACGCTCTGAAAGGGATAAATCGATTCATTTTTTCACTGTTCCTCTGGAAATGACTCATCAGGATCAAACAAGGGAATTATCAAAAAAAAGACGGGAATTATGTCTCGAGAACATAAACCACCAAGAGATTTCCAATGGTCCCATCAAGACACACTCACGTCACTTTCATCAAGGTGTTTGTTATTTAAATTGTTTCAGAGTTTATTTAATGAAAGAAGCACATTTACTGAACTAAAATGTAAAAAGAAACATCTGCAGTAGAAACTGGATGTTCCAGCATATAAACATGTCACTCATCGTAGGACCATGTTTTCTTTATTGTCCACAACTTTGTCTTTTAGAATTAATCTCTTTTTGTGAGTGGATTTTTCTAACGTTCGCGAGGATCTTTTCATGGTCGATTCTTTCGAGGTTTGGCTCACAGACTCTTCGACTCGTGCGTCGTGTTGATCACAGGAGCCAGTGTGGGTTCGTTGAATCGTAAACTAGTGCGGGTTTTCCTGGATAAATTAATGACATTTTAGTTCAGTAAATGTGCTTCTTTCAATAAATAAACTTTGAAACTATTTAAATAAATACCTTGATGAAAGTGTGTGACGTGAGTGTGTCTTGATGGGACCATTGGAAATCTCTTCGCAGTTTATTTTTGCTGCTATAATCTGCGTCTTTTTTTTGATAATTCCCTTGTTTGATCCTGATGAGTCATTTCCAGAGGAACAGTGAAGAATCGATTCGTTTTATCCCTTTTCAGAGCGTCTAGAACAACAAATACTCAACAAAACCTGCCCATGTTTCTCCGACGCTGCTGAAGTCAGTGACATAGTGTGCCCGGTGTCATGGCGGCGTAGGTACTGTTGCTGTAGGGTCACGTGATGTGCAAAGACTCTATTTGTGCTTCTGTTGGTGAACTCCAGAAGTAAAGACACTTTTTTTGTTGCGACTGCCTCCTGCTTCCCCACAGTCTCTAAATTCTTAATTCACCCCGGGTATCGATGAGCTTCATTTGACTGGAGCTGAACACTGTGGTTTGTCTGTTTTCCACACGTCTGTGGAAATACAACGACTGGATTATTGAAATAATGCTGAATTAATGAAACAATCCAAACATTTTGATCTGAAACAGACGTGAGCTCAGACACGTGACACCATCAGAGCTGCAGCTTCACTTTTCCTGCAGCGTCGTTTTAGACTCAGACAAACTTTATTGATCCACAAATCTAATAAATTCTGACTCTTGACTGTGAGTCGTGACAGAGCTGCTCTCATTCCAGTGCAGCAGCAGCTCGTCTCCTCGGTGCCCGTCTCCTCGGTGCCCGTCCTGCCCCCGGGGACACTGGCATTCAGCCGCTCTGTGGGGCCCGGGGCCGATGGACTGTGCCAGCGCTGTAAATGTGAAAACTCTTATGGACGTGTCTGAGGACGAGGCATGGAGACGAGGACACACACGGAGACACAGAGACACACAGAGACACACAGAGACACAGAGACACACAGAGACACACAGAGACACACAGAGACACACAGAGACACAGAGACACACAGAGACACACACAGAGACACACAGAGACACAGAGACAGAGACACACACAGAGACACACAGAGACACACAGAGACACACACACACAGAGACACACAGAGACACACACACACAGAGGACACACAGAGACACACAGAGACAGCACACACAGAGACACACACACAGAGACACAGAGACACAGAGACACACAGAGACACACAGAGACACACAGAGACACACAGAGACACACAGAGACACACAGAGACACACAGAGAGACACACAGAGACACACAGAGACACACAGAGACACACAGACACAGAGACACACAGACAGAGACACAGAGACACACAGAGACACACACACAGAGACACACAGAGACACACAGAGACACACAGAGACACACACAGAGACACAGAGACACACAGAGACACACAGAGACACACAGAGACACACTGAGACACACTGACACACAGAGACACACAGTGACACACAGAGACACACAGAGACACACAGACACAGAGACACACAGAGACACACACAGAGACACACAGACAGACACACAGAGACACACACACACAGAGACACACACACAGAGACACACAGACACACTGAGACACACAGAGACACACAGAGACACACAGAGACACACAGAGACACACAGAGACACACAGAGACACACACACAGAGACACAGAGACACACAGAGACACAGAGACACACAGACACAGACACACACAGAGACACACAGAGACACACAGACACTACACACAGAGACACACACACAGAGACACACAGAGACACACAGAGACACACGACACACAGAGACACACAGAGACACACAGAGACACAGAGACACACAGAGACACACAGAGACACACAGAGACACACAGAGACACAGAGACACAGAGACACACAGAGACACAGAGACAGAGACACAGAGACACACAGAGACACACAGAGACACAGAGACACAGAGACACACAGACACACGAGACACACACACAGACACACAAGAGACACACAGAGACACACAGAGACACAGAGACACACAGAGACACACAGAGAGACACACAGAGACACAGAGACACACAGAGACACAGAGACACAGAGACAGAGACACACAGAGAGACACACAGAGAGACACACAGACACACACACAGAGACACACAGAGACACAGAGACACACAGAGACACACAGACACACACAGAGACACAATCACAAGTGAGTTGGAGCCAGAGTCGCAGGACCCAGACGTGCGTCCGTGTTCACTTCCTGTTTGTGGCGGCGGTTTTTGAGGCGGATCTCTGTCCGTTCAGATAAACTGTCGAACTGCAGCAGACGATCCCTGAAACTTTTCCTACCGGGACATTTATGGCCGATGAGGGATTACACCACCAGTTTCTAAAAAGTGAAACTAGTCGGTTGTCTTAAAGCGGGTCTGGTTGTCTCACAGCGTCTTTGCTTCTTGGGTGAGCTGGGCAGGTTGTTTTCGTCTGGATCTGGTTGTCCTCTTGTGGGTCTGGTCGTCTTTTCGTGGGTCCAGTTGTCTTCTGGTGGGTCCGGTTGTCTTCTCGTGGGTCCGGTTGTCTTCTCGTGGGTCCGGTTGTCTTCTCGTGGGTCCGGTTGTCTTCTGGTGGGTCCGGTTGTCTTCTGGTGGGTCCAGTTGTCTTCTCGTGGGTCCAGCTGTCTGTCTTCTGGTGGGTCCGGTTGTCTTCTGGTGGGTCCGGTTGTCTTCTGGTGGGTCCGGTTGTCTTCTGGTGGGTCTGGTTGTCTTCTGGTGGATCTGGTTGTCTTCTCGTGGGTCCGGTTGTCTTCTTGTGGGTCCGGTTGTCCTCTCGTGGATCTGGTTGTCTTCTGGTGGATCTGGTTGTCTTCTCGTGGGTCCGGTTGTCTTCTTGTGGGTCCGGTTGTCCTCTCGTGGATCTGGTTGTCTTCTGGTGGGTCTGGTTGTCTTCTGGTGGGTCCGGTTGTCTCCATGTGGGTCCGGTTGTCTCCATGTGGGTCCGGTTGTCTCACTGTGCCTTTGCTCCTCAGGTCTTCAGCACTTACTCCAACGAGGACTACGATCGCAGGAACGAGGAGGTGGACCCCGTGGCCTCATCGGCGGAGTACGAGCTGGAGAAGAGGGTGGAGAAGCTGGAGCTGTTCCCCGTGGAGCTGGAGAAAGGTCAGACTGGAAACACACGACACAAAACACCAAAACACCAAAACTCCAAAACACCAAAACACCAAAACACCAAAACACCAAAACACCAAAACACCAAAACTCCAAAACACCAAAACTCCAAAACACCAAAACACCAAAACACCAAAACACCAAAACTCCAAAACACCAAAACTCCAAAACGCTGCAGACTGGTCCTTGCAAAACCATCACAAACAAAGTACCACAGATCATCTCCAACTGTCTTCACTTAGAACAAACAGACAGTGTTTAAGTCTGACCACTGACCATCCACCCGCCCGTCGGCGGGCGAATTTCCAAAAAAAAAAGTTCACTCTGTATTTTCACCTTCATTATTGTTTCACTACTGGCCATACATCGTTTGAAAGCTTAATTTATCAATAAAACAACCATATCATTCATTTTATGTCGTACAACGAGCCCAAAACGCTATAACTTAAAAATTCACATCATAATCAAAGAATAAAATACGCGTTTCTTAACTTTGAGCCGGTTCTGTTGGTCCAAAACGCGTTCAATCCATAAAAAGTTGTACTCAATAAGTCAGTAATAATCCACAGAAAAAGAATATCAAGTTGTTTTTTCCATAAAATAATTCCATGTGGGTAAATAATACAGAAAATCCCTCGTCTGTATGAATCGATGGATACAATGATATGAAAAAAAGTTTCTCTTCTCTCCCTCCCTCCACTGCGTTTCTAGCAGGTTTGCTAGCACTGTTGGGTGCGCTTGTTTTCCTCACACTCTTAGCTTCAAAATGAGACCCTCCCCGCTGTTGTCGGTGGCGGGGTTTAGGTGGGACAAGCCGCTGAAGAAGCTAACGCACTCACGTACTTCCTGGCTTTACGCACGCGTCATCAGTTTGTTTACGGGAAATCTCTTCAGTCATTGGATCTTCCAGAAAGTGATTGACATATTGTTTTAGCCAATCAGCAGAGCTTTCAAACGGTGGGTGGGACATTCAGATAATCTTTGAAACGGACGCGGTGTTTACAGGCGCCTCAGAGAGGGACACAAGAAGCGGTGCAGGAGGGGCCATATTGGGCAGATCTGCTACTTGGAAGACAATTTTGGCTACTTTTAGTTTTTTTTCTTGAGAAAACATGCCTAAAGCTCAGAAGAATTAGTATTATAATAATAACAATGATTATTATTATTATATTATTATTATTATTTTGGCACAAATTTGGCAATCTTGTGCCGAATTGTCATTTTGTTTACACAAAGGCTCACAGCATCAAAACCCTTTGTCCTAGAGATCTGAAATTCTACACAGTTGTTGCCAACAACTTGAACAATGAGTGTAGTGAGTCACAAATGCCTAGCATGAAGTATGACCAAGCTAAGGCCTTTATTTATTTTTTTATTTTTTTTCGAAGCAAAAAAATACAATTTTTTTTCAATTTTTAATTGACTGTACTGTAGGTTAGGCAGCACTCACAGTCTTCATGTACATATCTACAGAAACTAGAAGGCCTAAGCTTTAAAATGGTGCCTCACACAAGCATGTGGGTTCTAAGGTTTTCTTTTAATAAGCTATGGCATTTGGGTATGTAGTGCTATTGTGCACACACCAAAATGAGGTGGGTGGTAACAGGTTAAAGGGAATTGAACCTTTCTGCAGGTGGAAAAGTCTCTAAACTCCACCAAAAATGACCTGTGAGACTCATTTTCAAAAATTCTGTTTGAAATGAAGGAAGTTAATTGTAGATGTTTTTATTCCTTTAAACTAATCAGAATCTGCCAAAGTTTCTCTGGTCAAAATTTTATCAACATCTAACTGTGTCACATGGGGAACCGAGAGTCCAAAGAAGGAGCCAAAAAGATCAAACCTGGACCGAGACTCTACACCATCCACATGAAAAGTGTGAGATTTGTGTCAGAAATGGTCATTCTGTCAAATATTCAGGTTCAACAGTTAGTTTGTAAAGATCTGCTTGAAGTAAATAGATCTTAGACCTCAAAAATTGAAAAAAAAAACTTGTGCAGCAACCAAATGTGAGATTTTGGGGCCCACAGCCACAACCTTAAAAATACACAATATTTGACAATAGATTCAGAATCTATGACCAAGAATTCATACTCTAATTTTTGATGAAGTTCTGGTCTCATACATGTTAAATTAAGGCTTCAGAAAAACTGAGCATGGCCCCAAAATTTCAATTCCAATGATTCCTTGAAAACGGCTGATTTCTTACGGACCGACCCTAAGGTTCTTTAGAAGACTGGGTAATTATTTTGAGAACCAGAACACCAAATTATAACAGAAACATCCTGAACTTCATTTTAAGAGTTTTTTTTTTCCATAAGACAGACAAAATTAATTGATTATTGTATTTAAACAGCTCCTCTTCAGACTCTTCACTCACTCCACACTCGAGGGTAAAATACTGACGTAGCCACGGTCACATTCACACTGGACAATGTGGGTGAAGTGTCTTGCCTAAGGACACAACAGCAGGTTATGCACTGGCGCCCCCCTGTGGCTCCTGGTGTCTCCCAGACCTGGACCTGCCCAGACCTGGACCTGCCCAGACCTGCCCAGACCTGGACCTGCCCAGACCTGGACCTGCCCAGACCTGGACCTGCCCAGACCTGGTCCTGCCCAGACCTGGACCTGGACCTGTCCAGACCTGGACCTGTCCAGACCTGGTCCTGCCCAGACCTGACCTGCTGAGCTCCTGAAGTCTGAGCAGATCTCAGACGTTTGCTCTTTGACCTTCACTGTTTGGAACAGTTGTCCAGCAGAAACTAAAGGGACATTTTTAACACGGGATATTTTAAACTTTTTCCTTGAACTGTTCTGAGTAAAATCACAATCGTCCGTGTTTGATGTTTGCTTCATATTTGAGAAGACGGATCCGGGCAGAAGAAACACTGAAAACAAAAACACCACAAAGATTCAGACACATGAAAAAAAAAACAACAACCAGAGACAACGAGAAAAACTAGAAACACTGAGACACAAGGAAGACTGAGTGTGTGTGTGTGTGTGTGTGTGTGTGTGTGTGTGTGTGTGTGTGTGTGTGTGTGTGTGTGTGTAGGTGTGTGTGTGTGTGTGTGTGTGTGTAAAGTGCCCCCTTCTCTGAGCTCCTGAAATAGCCCGACTGCAGATCTGTGTGTGTGTGTGTGTGTGTGTGTCTGCATGTGTGTGTGGATGTTATATCAGCTCCTCCTGAATAATGAATGAAACTCAGAGGGTCTGACCGCTTCACCTCAACACAAACTCACACACAAATACACACAACTCACACACAAATACACACAACTCACACACAAATACACACAACTCACACACAAACTGAGACAAACTGAGACGACGTTTACACTGAAACAAATCACCGTATCAGAAACACTTTGCGTCCACACTCGTCATTTCTGTGTCCTTCTCTCTCCACACAACTTTGAGCACATTTATTTACGTTTTACACAAACTAAACTTAAATCACATGACTCATTTGCATAAACTAATGTCTCTGATAAAAACAGTTGTTTCTTGTGTCTGATGTGGTTCAGTTTGTGTTGGACTAAAGGACACAGTGACAGTGACAGTGTTCTCTCTGTGTCAGAGGGGTGTTCTCTCTCTGTGACAGAGGGGTGTTCTCTCTGTGACAGAGGGGTGTTCTCTCTGTGTCAGAGGGGTGTTCTCTCTGTGTGACAGAGGGGTGTTCTCTCTGTGTGACAGAGGGGTGTTCTCTCTGTGACAGAGGGGTGTTCTCTCTGTGTCAGAGGGGTGTTCTCTCTGTGTCAGAGGGGTGTTCTCTCTGTGTCAGAGGGGTGTTCTCTCTGTGTCAGAGGGGTGTTCTCTCTGTGTGACAGAGGGGTGTTCTCTCTGTGACAGAGGGGTGTTCTCTCTGTGTCAGAGGGGTGTTCTCTCTGTGTGACAGAGGGGTGTTCTCTCTGTGACAGAGGGGTGTTCTCTCTGTGTCAGAGGGGTGTTCTCTCTGTGACAGAGGGGTGTTCTCTCTGTGTGACAGAGGGGTGTTCTCTCTGTGTCAGAGGGGTGTTCTCTCTGTGTCAGAGGGGTGTTCTCTCTGTGTGACAGAGGGGTGTTCTCTGTTGTGACAGAGGGGTGTTCTCTCTGTGTCAGAGGGGTGTTCTCTTGTGTCAGAGGGGTGTCTCTCTGTGTCAGAGGGGTGTTCTCTTCTGTGACAGAGGGTGTTCTCTCTGTGTGACAGAGGGGTGTTCTCTCTGTGTCAGAGGGGTGTTCTCTCTGTGAGAGGGTGTTCTCTCTGTGACAGAGGGTGTTCTCTCTGTGTCAGAGGGGTGTTCTCTCTGTGACAGAGGGGTGTTCTCTCTGTGTCAGAGGTGTTCTCTCTGTGACAGAGGGGGTTCTCTCTGTGCAGAGGGGTGTTCTCTCTGTGACAGAGGGGTGTTCTCTCTGTGTGTCAGAGGGTGTTCTCTCTGTGTCAGAGGGGTGTTCTCTCTGTGAGAGGGGAGAGGGTGTTCTCTCTGTGTCAGAGGGGTGTTCTCTCTGTGTCAGAGGGGGTTTCTCTCTGTGTGACAGAGGGGTGTTCTCTCTGTGTGACAGAGGGGTGTTCTCTCTCTGTGACAGAGGGGTGTTCTCTCTGTGTGACAAGAGGGTGTTCTCTCTGTGTCAGAGGGGTGTTCTCTCTGTGACAGAGGGGTGTTCTCTCTGTGTGACAGAGGGGTGTTCTCTCTGTGTCAGAGGGGTGTTCTCTCTGTGTCAGAGGGGTGTTCTCTCTGTGTCAGAGGGGTGTTCTCTCTCTGTGTCAGAGGGGTGTTCTCTCTGTGACAGAGGGGTGTTCTGCTGATGCTCAGTCTGTTCTGTGTTTCTGTCGTGTTGTTGGTTCATGTGAAACTTTTCACACATTATACGTGTGCAGGTCGTACACACAGACACACGTTTATGTGACTGGACACATATTCAGTCTCTTAGTGTTTTGTGGTGAATGACTCGGCGGTGACAGACACACAGTCCCCGTCACATCTGGACCAACATGAACTCGTGGAGCTGGAGGCACCAGATCATTCAGACTCTGGAGACGTTTAACATCAGATTAATGTGAACCAACACTGTACACACAACAACACCACTCACATACACACTAGTGTGAACGGGGCCTGAGACACAAACGGAGACAAACTCACACACAAACTGATGCCCGTCTTTAACCCTGATGCCCCGTCTTTAACCCTGATGCCCCGTCTTTAACCCTGATGCCCCGTCTTTAACCCTGATGCCCCGTCTTTAACCCTGATGCCCCGTCTTTAACCCTGATGCCCCGTCTTTAACCCTGATGCCCTGTCTTTAACCCCGTGTGTGTGTTTCAGATGAGGACGGTCTGGGCATCAGTATCATCGGGATGGGAGTCGGTGCTGATGCGGGGCTCGAGAAACTGGGCATCTTCGTGAAAACGGTGATCGAGGGAGGAGCGGCCGAGAGGGACGGCAGGTAAGTTTCATTTATGACACCTGAGCATCGTTATGTTAGAATTTAGACTTTTTCAATCACAATATTCACATAAAATGAAAATAAAACAAAGCACCGCATGGACTGAAACAGGACTGAACCAGGACTGAACCAGGACTAAACCAGGACTGAACCAAGACTAAACCAGGACTAAACCAGGACTGACAGGACTGAACCAAGACTAAACCAGGACTAAACCAGGACTGAACCAGGACTGAACCAGGACTAAACCAGGACTAAACCAGGACTGAACCAGGACTAAACTAGGACTAAACCAGGACTAAACAAGGACTGAACCAGGACTAAACCAGGACTAAACCAGGACTGAACCAGGACTAAACTAGGACTAAACCAGGACTAAACCAGGACTGAACCAGGACTCACTGTTGGGACCGGTCCGGAGGTGCGCCCGTGTAGACAGTCGAGTGACCGCAGGTGAAATGACCAGAGCAGAGTTACATGTCACACGGAGATATGTGCTGCGCTTTGTGGACACCTGCTCCACAGGCTCGAGGTTCTTTCTCTCTTAAGTCCAAGATTAGTCCTGGTTTAGTCCTGGTTTAGTCCTGGTTTAGTCCTGGTTTAGTCCTGGTTTAGTCCTGGTTTAGTCCTGACAGACCCGTGTGTGATCACTACCCACCTGTAAAACTCCAGAACATTAAAACCCGCCTGTTTCAGCAATTATTTGCCCGTGTCCGACTCGGTGCAGAACTGTGCATGACGCTGCCCAAACCTGCGAGTATCACCTGTGAAGAACATCAAACTGGAGAAGGAAGTGATGTCACTGTGGGCGTGAACCTGTGGAGCTGAAAAAAAAAAAAAGAGACTAAAGATTCTTCAAACATGAATCAGTTCAAATCCCATTATTATTATCAGAGGGTCAGAGAGAAGAAACAGCTAGAACATGGAGAACATCAGAGAAGAACAGTCTGGAGAACAGCTCTGGTTTAAGCTCTTCTCCTCGGGGGCCTGTAGGACAGACGAGTGTGTGGAGCTCTGAGCCGTGGAGCAGGAGGAGCAGGAGGAGCAGGAGGAGCAGGAGGAGCAGGAGGAGATGGTGGAGGAGGTGGAACTGGATGTGGATGGAGCAGTGGACCAGAAGGACCTGGTGTGAGTGTGACCTGAGTGACAGATCTGCTACTGATGTCACATCCTCTGCACCTCCATCTGCTCCTCTCCTCTTCTCTCCTCATCTCCTCCTCCTCTGCTCCTCTGTTCCTCTCCTTCTCTGTTCTTCTCCTGCAGACGTTTCTGGATGTGGAGGATTTCTCTCATGACTCATCTTCTCGTCCTTCTTCCTCCTTTTTCCTTTTTCACATAATTTGATTCTGGCAGAGTGCACCTTTTTATTTTTAGCATCCCTCGTTCTTTTTGCTTTTCACAGCTCGTCATGGAGGTCCTGGAGCGTGGGCAGCTCTTCTCCTCTCTCCTCACACTCGTCACACTCCTCCTCCTCCTCACACTCGTCACACTCCTCCTTCTCCTCCTCACACTCGTCACACTCCTCCTTCTCCTCCTCACACTCGTCACACTCCTCCTCCTCCTCACACTCGTCACACTCCTCCTCCTCCTCACACTCGTCACACTCCTCCTCCTCCTCACACTCGTCACACTCCTCCTCCTCCTCACACTCGTCACACTCCTCCTTCTCCTCCTCACACTCATCACACTCCTTCTCCTCCTCACACTCGTCACACTCCTCCTTCTCCTCCTCACACTCGTCACACTCCTCCTCCTCCTCACACTCATCACACTCCTCCTCCTCCTCACACTCGTCACACTCTCCTCTCCTCTCACACTCGTCACACTCCTCCTCCTTCTCACACTCGTCACACTCCTCCTCCTCCTCACACTCGTCACACTCGTCTCTGTCTCTGCTCAGATCCGGCGCTGTAGACTGGCGCCCGTCGCTCCGTGGGCGTCTGCAGGGTCAGCAGCAGGTTTCAGACTCTGGACGGACATTATTTTTCTGACACTGACAAACATCACGTTGTGTTTTCATGTGCAGTTTTCCTCTGGAGTTTCATCGTAGCTCCTGATTTTAGGAGAGAAAACAGGATTCATGTTCTCAGATCACTGCAGGCTCACGTCACAAACACGAAGATGTTTGGAAACATGCGACGACAACTTCCGACGGCTCTGTTCACTTTTTTTTTATATTAATACTTCAGAACCTCAGGATCTGTTTACACGAGATACTTGTGGGTAAAAACGACAAAATATTTGATGGGAAGTGTCTTTCGTTTAGACGGTGACAGAGTTTTTGTGGATTAAAAACACAAAAATCTGAACCCACCTCCAGAGTGTAAAAGTTGAATATTCTCCACCGTAGAGTTTCCGTCTCCACTGACCAAGACACAAAACTCTGGTCACATGTGCTCAGGTCGTGTACGAGTTTACGTCACAAACATCACCACCGAGCGTCATCACCAAGTCGTCTGGCATCACACACAATCCAGTTCCACACACTTTTGCGTCGCCGTGTGCAGCAGATTTACTCCTGAAAACACTCCAATCTAATTCACTTTATTTCTGTCGCACATTTCACAAACAAACTGTTTCCAAAGTGCTGCACAAAAACATAAAAATAACAACAATAAGATGATCAAATAAACTACTAAAATAATACTAGTCTTAAAATAATAAAACTAGTAAAATAAACTAAAACCAGTAAAATAAAATAAAAACAAAATCATAGAATAGAAATTAATAAACCAATAAATAAATTAAATCAGTAAAACCAATAAAAACACATAAAAATAAATTAAAAGACACAGAGGAGCACACGACTCACGCGGTGTTAAAAGCCAGAGAATAAAAGTGTGTGGCCCAGGCAACATAATATGGTTAAGTGCATTTTTCTTTGTTCATAAAGTGTATTGTGGTCGATCTTTTTCTGTTGTTGTTTACGTGATCAGCTGATCGCTCCGTCAGCTGACGTGCGCCTAATAGTATAAAGGGACACACGTGTGAGCGCGTTCGCCGCCTCGACTCACCGCTGTGCCGCCTCGACTCACCGCTGTGCCGCTGGCGCTTGTTCAGGATCCAGTGTGGGTGTTACAAGTGGGTCTTCAGACGAGACTTAAAACTCTCCACTGTGGAGCTGCTCCAACGTGAAGCGGCAGATGGTTCCAGAGCTCAGGGTCGACCACAGAGAAGCTCCTGTCCTCCTGGTTTTAAGTCTTGTCTAAGGCCCCACGAGCTGGAGCTGGACCTCAGACCTCAGAGCTCAGACCTCAGACCTCAGACCTCAGACCTCAGACCTCAGACCTCAGACCTCAGACCTCAGACCTCAGAGCTCAGACCTCAGAGCTCAGACCTCAGACCTCAGACCTCAGACTCAGACCTCAGACCTCAGACAGACCTCAGACCTCAGACTCAGACCTCAGACCTCAGACCTCAGACTCAGACTCAGACCTCAGACCTCAGAGCTCAGACCTCAGACCTCAGACCTCAGAGCTCAGACTCAGACTCAGACCTCAGAGCTCAGACCTCAGAGCTCAGACCTCAGACCTCAGACCTCAGACCTCAGAGCTCAGACCTCAGACCTCAGAGCTCAGACCTCAGACTCAGAGCTCAGACCTCAGACCTCAGACCTCAGACCTCATCAGACCTCAGACCTCAGAGACTCAGACCTCAGACCTCAGACTCAGACCTCAGACCTCAGACTCAGACTCAGACTCAGACCTCAGACCTCAGACTCAGACCTCAGAGCTCAGACCTCAGAGACTCAGAAGATATAAATTTGGATGAGGTCTGAGACGTACTGTGGGGCCAGTCCATTCAAAGATTTAAAAACAAACAATAAAATCTTAATTTAATCTTAATCACTCGACTAAACGCAGAATAAAAAGTGAAGACGCGACGACACTTTTGTGTTTCTGTTCAGACCCTCAGCAGAGAAACAAAGACTCAGATGCAAACAAACAGGCACCACACAAGATCCAAACGAAACACGACAAATGTATAAAAAAAACAAAAACAAGTGTGAACAAAAACACGTTCAGGCACAAAGGGGCAATTCCAGATCTCCTGAACAAATCAAAACGTTGCTTTTCCTTTAATTAGGTTCAATGAGCTAAAAAAAAACAAAAAAGGTTTCAGCTCATTCTTCAAGTGTGTTATTTTTTTGGTTTTATCAAAAAAAACAAAAAACATTTGTGAATAAAATATTTAAAATCAACAAATTATTGATACCAAATTCCATTCTTTTATCATTTATTAATACACCAAATTTTTATTTCTTTTATGGTTGGAACAGCAAATTGAATTCCCCTGGACTGAAACAAAGACCGAAAAAAGATGTTCCAAGTCTCAAAACACACGACACACATTTACCTGTCTCACATTTCAATTTTGGTTTGAGGAATTCACTGGTTGGATAAATTATTGAGGATTTTAAACTGTGTCTTCTTCACTTCAGGGGAGCTGGAAAGGAAAGACATTTAGTTCTAATCATTTTAATTTCTTTCTTTTCAAAATTAGAACATAATCACTTTTAATTGACTTTGGGAAGTAACAATTTAGTAACGAACATTTCAAAACTTTATTATTGCACTTTGAATTATGACAAAATGTGAGAAAAATGAGAAAAAGTCTCTAACCACACCTCAGTTTCATTCATTCATTTATTTCTTTGTTTGAGCAGGGGGGGGGGGATTTAGCCCAAAATGTGAAAATGTAAAAACAGGTAAATCCCTCTGTGTAATCCATTTATTTCAACAAAGTAACTGTAATCCAATTACCACTCACTGAAACAGTAACTGTAACTGAATACAGTTACTCATCATTTGTACTCTGATTACTCCGGTACATGTAATCTGTTACTCCCCAACACTGGTTGCGGCGTTTGCATTAAAATAAAGTCCTGTGGTCGTCCTGTGAGATTCATTTGGTTTTCCGATATTTTGTCATTAAGTTCTTTTTACAGACCAAGAGTTTGTTTTCAGACCGGACACTTTGTTCTGCTCCCTGCGCTCTTTCTTAGAGTCTCGTGATGTTTCTGTGTCGTGTCGTTCAGTTGATGTAAACGAGTTTTGTCTGTGTTTTCCTCTCGGTGGAGGCAGGACGACAGCGCCACCTGCAGACGCACTTCCTCACGACAGAATCCAGGTGAGTAAAAAAAAGAAAAAAGCCCCTCGTCGCTGGATTAAAGAGGCAATCGTAATATGGAAACGTGCCCACGAGACGATGAACCGGGACGAGGGGCTTTTTTACTCTCACACACTTGGATTCTGTCCTGAGGAAGTGCGTCTGCAGGTGGCGCTGTCGTCCTGCCTCCAGCGAGAGGAAAACACAGACAAAACCTGTTTACATCAACTGAGCGACACGACACAGAAACATCACCAGACAAAGAGGAAGAGGAGCAGGAGCAGAACAAACTGTCAGGACCAAAACAAACTCTTGGTCTGAAAAAAGAACCTGATAACAAAAGTCCCACGGTCACTTCCATCGTGGCTTTTTGTTGTTGTGTTGTTGCGTTTGTATTTGTAGCAGTGTTTGCGTTTGTTATGAGGCCTCCCAGCTTCCGTACTTTTCCTTCAGTGGGTTTGATCACAGTCGGTCGAGTCCAGAGTCGAGAAGTTTCACCGTGTGTTTCCAAACATCTTCTGGTTTGTGAGACTAGAGTTTGTTGAGTTTTGATTCTAGTTTGAGTGTGATTCTCTGTAGTTTTGTCGTCTCTGTCTGTGTGTGTGTTTGTGTTTGTCTGTGTGTGTTTGTGTTTTGTCTGTGTGTGTGTGTGTTTGTGTTTGTGTGTGTGTTTGTGCGTCTGACGTCTTTGTTGTGTGTCTCTTCAGGATTAAGGTGAACGATCAGATCGTGGAGGTGGACGGGACGAGTCTGGTGGGCGTCACTCAGAGCTTCGCCGCCTCCGTCCTCCGGAACACGTCTGGGATCGTGCGGTAAGAAAGACACACGCTCCACATGTTTACACACACACGCCAAAGAGGATTATGGGTAGATTATCAGACAGTGTGTGTCGGTCCAGCGCCGTCCACGAGTGTCCGGCCCACGGCCAGAGAACAGAGCCAGAGTCCAGGACGAGGTCAGAGTCTATGGAAAAATGTCAGAACCTGTGACCAATTAATCAGTCACATATTTAGATCAACATGTTCCTCTGTTGTTTTGGCATCAGAATCAGAATTTATTTGTCATTTCAGTATAAAAAAAAACACACACAGAAACAAATCTGTGCACTCAGGTCCAGATCATCAGAAGCACAAATAACAATAAATACTTTTAATCATTTTAGTTTTAAATCGCCTTTAAAAAAAAAAACAGCCCCGACCTGCCGCCATTTCAGAAACTGGTACAATTTTGTAAAGACTGGAAAGAGTTAAATGTTCTGACTCAGTGAGTAAGTGAGTTTGTCATTTAAAAAAAACAAAACAACGCGGCTTTAGTCCAGACATGAGGTCACTGAAAAAATATGTTTATTTTGTTCCAAATGATCTTAAACGGGCCCAGAAAATCATCACAGAGACAAAGTGAGACAAAAACACTCCACATTATCATAAATAAACGCTGAGTCATGTTCAGAGTTTCTTTAATTCAGGTCATAACGACAATGAGCTTTGGCCACTCCCCCTTTTTAATCGGCCAATCGCTGGGCAGCTCGTGGCGTTATTAAGAATGTAATAATGAATAATAAATGTTGAATAATGTTGAATAATGAATGTTCAGGTGTGAACAGAGGCTCCTCGGGATGCACTGGTGAAAAGGCACAAAGCGTCGTTTTAATAATTAAACACACACGAGGTGACAGGTGACAGGTGACAGGTGACAGGTGACAGGTGACAGGTGACAGTAGGCATTACCCAGCAGTTTTTCAGTGAGTCATGCTGAGTTCTCTTGCGCTCAGGAGTCTTGGGAAAACCGACCTCCACCTCGAGAAAAAGCAGCGGAGCGGCCGATCAGATCAAAGTTCTGAAACACAAAGTCGGGTTAGTTCGGCGCAGATCGAGTCGGTTTGTTTGTCGGTGCCACAGTAAACGGGGACAAGTGTGTTTTGGTTGTTTTGGTGTGTTCAGTTGTTTGTGTAGAGTGAGAGTCTCCAACCTTTTTCCTGGGGTCAGCTCCTTTACAAAACGAAAATTCCAGAGAGCGACTAAATCTACGTTCAGACTGCAGCCAGAAGTGACCTAAATCTGATTTTTTGGCCCCTATGTTCCTGTATCTGATCTTTTAATGACAGTCTGAACCACACAGATCTGATTTTTTTCAAACATGACCCAGGACACTTGGATCTGTGCTCCTGAAACTGATCCATATCTGATCTTTAACATGTGACTTGAGTGTGAACAGTCAGGTCACATTCATCCACCTACACGTCATCAACAAGACACAAACGTCACTATTCTGCACTGAAGTAGAAGAAAACTGTTCATGATCCATGTGACTGAAGTGAAGCACATCTCCACTCACCGCTCTTGGCTCCGTCTCCACATCCACACATAAATAAACAAGACTAAGACCATTAAGAACTTTAACGACCAATAAAAGAATTTAAAAATCCGTCCTGAAGCTCACAGGAGCCAGTTTAGGAGTTATTGTTGACCGTGATCTCAGCTTTGAGCCACACATCAGGTCCATCACTAAATCTGTTTTTATCATCTATAAAATATCGTCCAGAGTCAGAACATTTTTAAACATTCCTCCATAGACACGTATACAGTGTCCCCCAGCGCGACGTCAGTGTAAAGTCTCAGTGAGGACAAACAGACGAACGATTCAAACAAAGATAAACGACGTTCCAGAGTTTTTAAATGAGACGTAGTGTTTCGTCAAAGTGTTTTTCTGCTCAAACCAGATCAGCAGCTCCACACTGAAGCTCGTCCTGGTTTAGTCTCACCCGCCCACACTCCTCCTCCTCTTCCTCCTCTTCCTCCTCCTCCTCACTTCTCCATCAGTCCTGTCCTACATCCACCTCTGCAGCGTGGCCTATATTTCCCGCTCGTCTCGCCCCCTCAGAGCTCCACGTTCCATTAAACCCAGATTAAACTCAACTGAAGAGCAGAGCGAGTCTGTGTGTGTGTGTTTCTGTAAAAAGAATTAAACTTCTAAACAAGTAGCAAGAAAAAAAAGCAAGAAAATGCAACTATATAAATGTATGTACAGTAATTAAACACAAATATTGAAATATAAAACAGAGAATATCAATGTTATACACCAGACCAACTTTATTAATAAAGCACTTTAAAAACTTTACAGTAAACCAAAGTGCTGAACACAAACACAGGACAGACAAACCATCGCAGTAAAAGAAATACATGGTACACATAAAATACAGCTACTAAAAACATTGAAAAACAGTGAAATACTCAACAAGAAATGTACATGTCACTTATTAAAAGCCAGTGTAAAAAGGAGTGTTTTTAGGAGGGATTTAAAAACAGGTACAGACTCTGATCTTTAAAGGTTCGTTCACACCAAAGCGTCAAATCGTCCAGTTTCTATGTAAAGTCGTTGTCCTGCGTTTTTGCATCGCGTCTTCGGGGGTCAGCGCGGCGCGTCTTGAGCGTTTTAGCATCGACGCTCTAGACGCGCGTCCAAGGCGTCAGCGTTAAGAAGTTGAAAATGCTGAACTTTTCGCGTCAGACGAACCGCGTCGACCAATCAGGGACGAGTATCCAGATGCGCAACGACGTTATTATCAGGAAGAAAAACCCAGAACCACAAACATGAACGAAACATGAATATATACACCACAAACACCGAGACGATCACCAGGACTAAACCAGGACTACACCAGGACTAGACCGGGACTAAACAAGTACTAGACCGAGACTAAACAAGGACTAAACCAGGACTAAACCGGGACTAGACCGGGACTAAACCAGGACTAGACCGGGACTAGACTGGGACTAGACCGTGATTAGACCGTGATTAGACCAGGACTAGACCAGGACTGATCCAGTGTCATTAGTGGAGTATAAATATAAACTCGCTCCAGTCGTCGAGTCGATTTCCTCCACTGATGTTTTATGTCATAAAAACACTAAAGTCTCTCAGTCTGGTCTGACATTGTTTCGGGAAAAGACCAGGACCGGGCTCTTGTTTCCAGGGCAACGGACGTCAAGTCCCGTTCGTCCACGACGTCAAAGTCACGAGCGTCGAGGGCGTCTGAACTCAAATGCAAAGGCTCCAAATAGAGGCGTCAAGGCGTTTTTTGACTCTTTGGCGTGAACGGCCCTTAACAGCGACTGGTTCCAGAGCCGAGGGGCAGAAACAAAAAACACACGGTCCCCATAAAGTTTACGTTTAGTTTTTGGGACAGTGAGCTGGAGCTGATCTGCAGACCTGAGAGTACGAGAGGGGACGTAAGGGTGGATCAAGTCAGCGAGGTAGGAGGGCGCTGGGCCGTGCAAACGCTTAAAAGTAAATAAAATAATTTTAAAATCAACTCTAAAAGCCAATGAAGAGAAGCTAAAACATTTGAGACGCTCTCGTGTTTCCAGGTTCCAGTTAAAAGTCGAGCCGCTGAGTTTTGGACCCTTTGCAACCGGGAAAGTGCATTTTGTCTGACACCAGCATAAAGTGCATCACAATAATCCAATCAAGTCGTCATGAATGCAGGTGTGACAGTTTCAAAATGTTGCATTGACCAAAAAGGCTTAATTTTGGCCTGTTGTCTGAGCTGGAAAAAACTAGATTTTACAACAACACTAATCTGCTGATCAAGTTTTAGATCTGGGTCCATTTTGACACCGAAGTTTGTAACAACTGGCTTCACTAAATGATTTAATGAACCCAGGTCCACAGAAAAAGAAGAATTTAGGGAAGCTAGAGCCAAAAACCATAACCTCAGATTTTTCCTGATTTAGGTGCAAAATATTTCGTGACATCCAAGATTTGATGTCACTAATGCAGTCGAGAAGTGTCCGGCAGCCTGCGGATCATGACTCTTTAATGGCAGATAGATTTGACTGTCATCTGCGTAACAGTGGAAAGAGACGCCATGTTTCCTCAGAACGGTGCCCAGAGGAGCATATAAAGGGAAAAAAGCAAAGGCCCTAGAATCGATCCCTGGGGAACCCCGTATGACAGAGGAGGTATGACCTGAACCATAGCAGGGCTGGACCACGAATCCCCACCCAGAGCTCCAGCTGGTCCAGAAGAATCTCGTGGTCCATTGTGTCGAACGCAGCTGTCAGATCCAACAACACAAGAACAACAGAATCACCAGCATCAGTAGAAATACACAAGAGACATGATGAAACAGATGACACGTTCACATGACAGATTTAAATCTGAATAAAGATGAATTCTGCTTTAAAAAGTCCAAGTTAAATGTGATTGAGTTTGTTTGGTGGATCATGTTCGTGGTTTGTTGTTGTTAAAATGCTGCTGGTGCTTCATGTTCGTCGTGTCGTCCTTCGATCCGGTCCTGGTCCTGGTCCTGGTCCTGGTCCAGTCGTGTCTCGGGACTTTGATCCACGTCTCTTTGGATTTGTGAGCGGGATGCGGGAGTGGGCCGAGGTTTTGTCTTCTTCCTCCTTCTCCGACGCTCGTCCCTCCTCCTCAGCAACAGACGGAAAGTGTGACGAGACAATTCTCCAGATTCTCATCAGAACCACTGCGGGTTCAAAAAGTTTGGACGGTGTTTGTGTCCGTGGAGGAACCACAAACCCAGACGACAGAAAAGACCACAGTTCAGTTTTAGACATTATAGAGTCCTGGTTTAGTCCTGGTTTAGTCCTGGTTTAGTCCTGTTTTACCTGGTTTAGTCCTGGTTTAGATGTCAGGTTTAAATCCACCTAAACATTGTAAAACAAGAAGAAAGACAAGAAGAAGTTTAAACCTGACATTAGACCTGCTGTTAGACCTTATATACTCCTAATTTAGTCCTGATTTAGACCTTACAGAGTCCTGTTTTAGAACTGATTTAGTCCTGCTTTAGACCTGTTTTTAGACCTTATATAGTCCCAGTTTAGACCGGGTTTAGACCTGGTTTAGTCTTGATTTAGTCCTGATTTAGACCTTGCAGAGTCCTGGTTTTGTCCTGTTTTAGACCTGTTTTAGACCTGGTTTAGTCCTGTTTTAGACCTGTTTTAGACCTGGTTTAGTCCTGGTTTAGTCCTGGTTTAGACCTGTTTTAGACCTGTTTTTGGCTCCGTCTCCACATCCACACGTTCCTTTCAACGTTCTGTCCCACAAAACACCACCACCAAAAACCTGGTCCTTCTCCTTCTCAATCTCCTCCTTAAAACAAGTCAGTTGTTCATGTTGTGGCTCCGGTACGAGAGGAACTTTAAAATCTCCAGGTGCTCGATGCTGCGTCCATGTTTGTTCAACTTGTGTAAACACAGAGACGCTCGCTGCGGTTGACGTCGTCGTGTCTCCAGTGTCACATGTGGGACACTTTTGGACCGTTTAATGTTCACACTGGAGTCACATACAAGTCACATTTAACTGGAAATGTGAACCACCTCGAAAAAACATCGGATTTCACAAAAAAATCGGAATTGAGCGTTAAACCTGCAGTCTGAACAGAGACTTAGTGACATCACAGCAGGTTTCACGTTTTTCTTCACCACAAGAAGATTTGAGCCTGAACCTTCAACCTGAACGTGTTTCCCAGAGATGTTTTTTTTTTTCCAGTGACCTAAAGTGAAGGAGTCAAAACAGAAATGCGGCGTAATCGGATGAAGCTAAAGTGGAGCTGTGGTTCATGTTCTGTTTCCTGTCTGGTGCCGTGATACAGGAAGGTTGTGGTTGGAATACTAGTGACAGCTCTGAGCACGAGTCGAGTGGAACTGAGCTGAGACTCGTTCACAGAGGAGCTCGCTGTGCTGCTTCAAGGCCGAGGAGAGGGGCTTTTTCCGGGTCAGCTGCTCCTCCGCCAGCCCCCCCCCCCTTCTCCTGTCCCACTGCCCAATGCTCGATGCCCACTGCCCCCTGCCCACCGCCCCCCCCACTGCCCACTCCCCACTCCAGGACTCTCCTCCTTCAGACGAGGAGCACAGTGGGTTTTCTGCTGGAGCGGAAATCTGACTGTCTCCAGAAATCACATCACGTCTCATCTGTGCCACGCTGGCTGCCACGCTGAGGAGGGGGGGTATGTGCCACGCTGAGGAGGGGGGGGTCTGGCCACGCTGAGGAGGGGGGCTGTGCACGCTGAGGAGGGGGGGTGTGCTGAGAGGGGGGTCTGTGCCACGCTGAGGAGGGGGGGTCTGTGCCACGCTGAGGAGGGGGGGTCTGTGCCACGCTGAGGAGGGGGGTCTGTGCCACGCTGAGGAGGGGGGTCCACGCTGAGGAGGGGGGGTTGTGCCACGCTGAGGAGGGGGGTGTGCCACGCTGAGGAGGGGGGTCTGTGCCACGCTGAGGAGGGGGGGTCTGTGCCACGCTGAGGAGGGGGGTCTGTGCCTGAGGAGGGGGGGGCGGGAGGGGGGTCTGTGCCACGCTGAGGAGGGGGGGGCTGTGCCACGCTGAGGAGGGGGGGTCTGTGCCACGCTGAGGAGGGGGGGTCTGTGCCACGCTGAGGAGGGGGGGTCTGTGCCACGCTGAGGACTGGTCTAATTGTATCCGTCTCACATTTATTTAATTTCTGGTGTTTTGATTCTTATAAAAGTGGTTGTTTCTCTGAGCAGGACGGCCTCTCCACAGATCTGACCTGTAGCTTGGCCGCCTGCTGGTCTCCATGGTAGTTGTGATCTACTTCGTACGTACGATATGAATCTGAAACGTCTAAAAGAAACGTGTTCATCGGGTCTGGTTCAAAACGTGTGGAGCTGTGGGCGGAGACAGGGGACGAGGGAAAACAGATTTTATGATTTTTTTTTGAATGAGAGATTTTTATTTACACTTGATGTTTGAATGTGCAGCTCTGATTGGTTGGTCGTTTGTGTGCAGGTTTGTGATTGGTCGTGTTTGTGTGCAGGTTTGTGATTGGTCGTGTTTGTGTGCAGGTTTGTGATTGGTCGTGTTTGTGTGCAGGTTTGTGATTGGTCGTGTTTGTTTGTGTGCAGGTTTGTGATTGGTCGTGTTTGTGTGCAGGTTTGTGATTGGTCGTGTTTGTTCGTGTTTGTGTTTGTGATTGGTCGTGTTTGTGTGCAGGTTTGTGATTGGTCGTGTTTGTGTGCAGGTTTGTGATTGGTCGTGTTTGTGTGCAGGTTTGTTTGTGTGCAGGTTTGTGATTGGTCGTGTTTGTGTGCAGGTTTGTGATTGGTCGGGAGCGGCCCGGGCAGCAGAGTGAAGTGGCCACATTGATCCAACAAACTCTGGAGCAGGAGCGGAGACAGAGGGAACTGTTGGAGCAGCAGTACGCCCAGTACGACGCTGACGACGACGAGGTAACATGTACATGTACTACACATGTACACACAAGTACACATGTACAAATACACATAAATACACACAGGTGTATACACATACACACAGGGCACAGATACACCACAGGCTCCATCAGCAGAACTTCATCTGAGGAGTAACAGACTCAGTCCAGCGTCGTCTGTGCAGATCTGAAATATTCATCTGGTGCGACTCTCAGTGAAAAACAAAAAAAGTTAAATTGAGTCTGAGAGAAAAACACAGAGCTCCTCCCTCCACGTTTGTCTGAGTCAGTCTGAAGTCAGGATTTTCTGTCCTGATTCTTCAGTCGGTTTCATACAAAAATGTGTATTTGACAAAGTCCAGAGGAGCAGAGCGTCTGTGGTCTGATGTCACAGCTCAGGTTGGTTCAGCTCACAGCTGATTGGTCGGTGCATCGTCTACGACTTCTACGGTTCTTGCAAACTGTCCAGTTTTTTCTGATTCCTGAACTAGTCGCTGAAGAGAAACTGAGCAGAGACACTAGGGGGCGCCAGACTGGTTTAGTATTTTCACCACAAGAGTCTGAAGTGCGTCTGTCGATGTCTCTGTTTGTTGTGGTTTGTTTTGTGTCTCGGTGGTTGGTGGTTTGATTCTCGGGACTTTGTGAACTCACAAATATGAGGCGACTCCACCAGGACAAAGCTTTTCTCCTAAAACCTGCTGATGTGGAAACTGTGGTGCTTCTTCTGGTGACAGACGTGGACTGGCTCTTCAGCTCAGGTTCATTATTAGAACTTCAGTGGAAGTCGTCACTTCTTTGAACGTTTGATGTGAGGACTGAGGCTGGATGTGTTTTGTAGCTCAGGTCTTCAGGTCTTCAGGTCTTCTGGTCTAAAGACTCTTGTCACAGTTTCTAACAGAGACTGAGTGTTGAAATTGTCTGAAGGACGGGGCGCTGTGAGCTTTACCTCCAACCTCCAGTCAGTATTTAGTGTCTGCTCTGGTCATCCTCCAGCACACACTGAGCTGCTCTTCATCACACTGAGCTGCTCTTCATCACACTGAGCTGCTCTTCATCACACTGAGCTGCTCTTCATCACACTGAGCTGCTCTTCATCACACTGAGCTGCTCTTCTTCACACTGAGCTGCTCTTCAGTCACACTGAGCTGCTCTTCATCACACTGAGCTGCTCTTCATCACACTGAGCTGCTCTTCATCACACTGAGCTGCTCTTCATCACACTGAGCTGCTCTTCATCACACTGAGCTGCTCTTCTTCATTTACATGTTTGATCACATCAGAGACTCGGCTCAGTCCAGTCAGGATCATTTGATCTTCTGATTTATCCCAGATTAACCCAGAAGATTATTTCTCAGATTTTTTGTTTTCTCATCTGAAAGTTTCACCTCCTCAAAACTGCTGGAGAATGAAAGATGAAGTCGTGTGTCTTCACATGTTGGAGACTGAGCTCCTCTGTGTGAAGTGTGTGAAAAGTGTGAAAAGTGCACAGAAATTACAGAAGTTACAGAAGCTGTGTGTGCAGGTGTGTCTCTGTTGTGAGGTCAATAATATAAAAGTGTCTTGATTTGACACATAATTATTCATGTGAAACTCTTCATTGTGTTTTTAACAAAAGTGAACACACCTGGTTCAGACCTGAGACACTGGAAACTGTTTCACACGTGTGTGTGTGTGCGGGTGTGTTCATGACATGTCGTCCTGACTAATGGTGTAACATTCTTCAGCAGCCGTGTGGTTTTGTTTGTGGTTTTGTTTGTGGTTTTGTGGTTTTTGTGTCTTCATGTTCTGTGGGAAACATGAGTCTTTCCTTTGTGTTGTGTTCTTTTGTCATAGTCAAATGAAAAATGTCAGACTCTGACGTGAGACTTGGATAAAACAGTTTAAATATTTTATTTACATTATTAAATAAAACCAAGGAACATGAAAAAACTGTTTTAAAAAGCCGACACACTCTGAGTGCAGAAGAGTGTGTCTGGATTATTTAAAGTCTAAATAAACATTCATCAGATCAGATGGAGATAGATTTATAAAAACATTGATATAAATGTGCCAGAAGAACTTTAAAATACAAATAAATGTAGAAAATGACAAAGATGATCTGGCTTTGGTCTCGTCCTGGTCTCGGGATCAGGTGGTCTTGGACTGGTCTTGGTTTGGATTAGTGCAGACTCGAATATGACACTTTTACAAACTGACCAATGAACAGCAGAAGAGAACGTTTAACAGGACAGAGCGACATACAGAGGGTTGGGGTTGGGGTTTAGGGCTCAGGGTTTAGGGTTTAGGCTGGTGATGGTGAGATGAAGCCTCCTGGTTCGAGAAAGGTTCATTTGTCGAAGCCTCATGTGCACCCGACACCACCTACTGGCCAAGTGTGTCATCACATCTGGATCTGAACCACATCATGTTTGAGGCACTGAATGTTTGTGTCTGTCACGTCTGTTGGGAATGACTCTGAACTACAAAAACTGTACAACCAAATCATTTCTGTACATATTTGATCACATGTGTGTAGAATAAATGTTGTGTGTGTAGTGGAGCTGTTTTTCTGAAAATGTCAGGGGCGTAATCAGGCAGAGGACAGTGAAAGTGTGTGTGTCCTGTCACCTGTCCTACTCTCCTCACTCTCCCAAATCTCTCTCTAAACTCTCCAAAATATCTTCAAACTATATAAAGTCAATCCAGACTCTCCACTGACCACAGTTTTCCTTCAAACACCCACATGTTGATGGAGCCTGAGGGTTTTTATCGCTGTTGCAGCTCGCGGCAAAATCTGAACCACTTCCTGAAGCGATCACGTGGTCGAGTCGGGCAGCGAGGCTTCGGACGTCATCATTTTTGGCTCCTCCCCCAAATGAAGCAAACCTCGACACATCTGGAAGCCTTTGCACATCTCGTAACATCGTGGTTTAGGGTTTAGGGTTTGTTAGTTCTCCTCCACGTTCAAGGGTCAGTTTATCTCGTGGATCATTAAAATCTTCAGTTTTTCAGTAGAAACGACGACGTGAGTGAGTCGTGTTCATGTGCGATTTTGATGTCGGGTTTTGATATTTACGATCATGACCACAGGACGTGAAGGCCTCATGAGCCTCTTAAACTCCACAGAAGAAGAAGAAGAAGAAGAAGAGCGGCGTTATGAGAGAAAACTCAGGAAACACAAAACCTGCTCCTTGATAAACACAGATTCGCTGACGCCTGAAAAGGACGAGGATGTGTTTGCTTTTCCTCTTTTCCTTTTCTGTTTGTGTGAGAACATAACGCCGCCCTCAGCAGATCCGACTCTGATATTTACGTCCTGGTCTTTTGTGCCTTCGCTGAACGGACCGTCTGCTGCTGCCATAGCAACAGGCCTCTCGTCGTGAAGAGCGTTTGGGGTTTGAACATCATCAACAAATCAGGTCGTCTGCGTTTGGGCTGAAGACGAGTCCAAAACCACAGACCAACTGAAAGAAAACGAACAGAGAAACTAGATCCTAAAACAGTCCCACGGACAGAACCGAGCAGAACCTAAAGAACGTCTTTAGAACTATGGACCTGGTTTAGTCCTAGTTTAGTTTAGTCCTGCTTTAGACCTGATTTAGATCTGGTTTTACACCTGGTGTGGTCCTGGTTTAGACCTGGTTTAAACCTGGTTTAGACCTGGTTTTAGACCTGGTTTTAGACCTGGTTTAAACCTGGTTTAGACCTGGTTTTAGACCTGGTTTTGTCCTGGTTTTAGACCTGGTTTTGTCCTGGTTTTAGACCTGGTTTAAACCTGGTTTTAGACCTGGTTTAGACCTGGTTTAGACCTGGTTTAGACCTGGTTTTAGACCTGGCTTTAGACCTGATTTTGTCCTGGTTTTAGACCTGGTTTAGACCTGGTTTTTGTTCTGGTTTTAGACCTGGTTTTAGACCTGGATTACACAGATATAAAGACACATGAGAACAGAAAAGAAAGTTTTAATGTGGAAAATCAGGAGATTGTTTAAAGAAACAGGTTTTTATTTTCAGTGTGGGCTCAGAATTGTATCGAGTATCAAGTATCGAGTATCGAGTATCGAGTATTGAGGCCGTTCTTTTGTATGTAAATGGAGTGTGGTGACAGATTGTAGGAAATATAAACTGGAGCGTGAGGTTTGTTTGTGATCCGTGTGTGAAGCCGTTTTATAGTTTGAGAAAAGCTGTTGTGGCCGTGAGCCTGAGCAGCGCGAGCGTCCGTCCACTAATGGCGCCGCATCGATTCCACATTATGTCTTTCATAAAAACACACGAGCTGCAGGAGGCTGCGTTCGATTAAAGGCTCGGGGCTTTTAGACGCTCCACTGTGGAACATTTACTCCTGTTTTCATTTAGACGACGTTTGGGACGTTCAGCTCGACGTAAACACAGAAAGATCAAGACAACGAGAGGGACACGGGTCACACACCGATACTACAACACACCGATACTACAACACACCGATACTACAACACACCGATACTACAACACACCGATACTACGACACACCGATACTACAACACACCGATACTACGACACACCGATACTACGACACACTGATACTACAGACACACCGATACTACAACACACCGATACTACAACACACCGATACTACAACACACCGATACTACAACACACTGATACACTACTACACACACTACTACACACACCGATACTACATACTACACACATACTACGATACACACCGATACTACAACACACCGATACTACAACACACCGATACTAGATACTACTGATACACACTGATACTACTACTGATACTATACTGACTACTACACAACACACCGATACTACAACACACCGATACTACAACACACGATACTACAACACACCGATACTACAACACACTACTACACACACGATACTACAACACACTACGATACTACAACACACTGATACTACAACACACCGATACTACAACACACCGATACTACAACACACCGATACTACAACACACTACTACAACACACCGATACTACTACAACACACACACTGATACTACAAACACACCGATACTTGATACTACTGATACTCTGATACTACTACTGACACTACTGACATACAAACACACTGATACTCTGATACTCTGATACTCTGATACTACTGACATACTGACATACAACACACTGATACTACTGATACTCTGATACATACTGATACTACTACACGATACTACAACTGACACTACAACACACTGATACTCTGATACTCTGACATACTGATACTCATACATACTACACTACAACACACTGATACTACAACACACCGATACTACAACACACTGATACTACAACACACTCTGATACTCTGATACTCTGATACTCTGACATACTGACACTACAACACACTGATACTACAACACACCGATACTACAACACACTGATACTACAACACACTGATACTACAACACACCGATACTCTGATACTCTGATACTCTGATACTCTGACATACTGACATACAACACACTGATACTACAACACACCGATACTACAACACACCGATACTACAACACACTGATACTACAACACACCGATACTACAACACACCGATACTACAACACACTGATACTACAACACACTGATACTACAACACACCGATACTACAACACACTGATACTCTGATACTACTCTGATACTACAACACACTGATACTACAACACACTGATACTACAACACACTGATACTACTACAACACACTGATACTACAACACACCGATACTACAACACACCGATACTACAACACACTGATACTCTGATACTACAACACACCGATACTACAACACACTGATACTACAACACACTGATACTACTGATACTCTGATACTACAACACACTGATACTACAACACACTGATACTACAACACACTGATACTACAACACACTCTGATACTCTGATACTACAACACACTGATACTACTGATACATACTGATACATACTGAACACACTGATACTACACATACTGATACTCTGATACTCTGACATACTGATACTCAGACATACTGACATACAACACACTGATACTCTGATACTCTGACATACTGATACTCAGACATACTGACATACAACACACTGATACTACAACACACTGATACTACAACACACTGATACTACTAACACACTGATACTACAACACTCTGATACTCTGATACTCTGATACTCTGACATACTGACATACAACACACTGATACTACAACACACTGATACTACAACACACTGATACTACAACACACTGATACTACAACACACTGATACTACAACACACTGATACTACAACACACTGATACTACAACACACTGATACTACAACACACTGATACTCTGACATACTGACGTACAACAGTCTGACATATCGACACTGTGACACTACAACATTCCAACACACCGATATACTGACATACTGACACTCAAACACTCCGACACACCAACATACACGTCTAACTGTCGGACTGGCGGCGGCATTTTAATTTTTTATCAAATGTTCCTTCACTCTGACATTTTTTTTCCCTTGGTTGGAGTTGCAGCACTTTAGTTTTTTCTTCAACATTCTTCCATTCCGACACACAAGGGAATTATTAAGTTGCGTCAGCGCTATTTTTGGGATAATATTTTCATGGACGGACAGCGTAGGACATGCGGTCCACACATGGTTTAGTTCTGGTTAAATCCTGGTTTAGACCTGATTTATACCTGGTTTAGACTTGGTTTTAGTCCTGATTTAGGTCTGTTTTAGTTCTCGTTTTAGTCCTGGTCAATCAAAGAGGTGATGTAGAATCCGTCAGTCGTTCAGGTAGAATCCATCACAAAAGGAGAAATTCATTTAGTCAACTGGACAAAAGTTTATTTAGGTTGAAAACGTTCCTCAGCTCGTCCGAGCTGCTTCTTCAGTTGTGGTCAGAATGTTGGAGGAATCCTGAGCAGATGAGGAAATGTGACAGAGATCAGTGTGAGTTTGGCTCGTTCTGTGTTGACATGAGTTTGGTTCTTGTTGGTTTTTTGCAGCAGACCGGAGAATACGCCACAGACGATGAGGACACGGGGACCACAGCACCGGGACAGAAGAGCATCGAGGTGTTTGACCTTCCAGAGTCTGAGGACGTCGTGTCTCCTGCCGACCTGGACGCCAACAAGCTCTACCAGAAGTTCAGAGAGGTGAGACCTTAATTCTTCCAGACGTTCAGAGACTTTAGACCTAAATTCTTCCAAAAGTTCAGAGACTTGAGATCAAAACTGTACCAGAAGTTCAGGGAGGTGAGACCAAATCTCTTCCAGAAGCAGAAGTTCTTACGGTCCTGTCGTTGTTCTGAAGCACCGTCTCCTGCAGATTGATCCTGTAGAGTCTGTTGATGATCACTGCCGTTATTTACTCACCTCGTAAATGTCACATTTAAATAGTGTTGTTCTTCCTTCACGACTCAGACACTTTACGTGGAGGAAACAGTCGCCCACTGACTCTGACTCTGACTCTGACTCTGACTCTGACTCTGACTCTGACTCTGACTCTGACTCTGACTCTCCAGACCTTCAGCCTCTGGTTTCACCTCAACCTTTGAACAGAAAACAAACATCTGCCCACTGGCCCATTTTTCCTTCACCTTTTATTTAACTGCAGATCTGACCAACATTTGACCAGTGTCAGGAGTAACAGATTACATGTACCGGAGTAATCAGAGTACAAATGATGAGTAACTGTATTCAGTTACATTAACTGTTTCAATGAGTGGTAATTGGATTACAGTTACTTTGTTGAAATAAATGGATTAAACAGATGGATTTTACTGTTTCACATTTTGGGCTAAACCAGGACTAAACCAGAACTAAACCAGGACTAAAACCAGGTCTAAAACCAGGACTAAACCAGGACTAAAACCAGGACTAAACCAGGTCTAAAACCAGGTCTAAACCAGGACTAAACCAGGTCTAAACCAGGTCTAAACCAGGTCTAAACCAGGTCTAAACCAGGTCTAAACCAGGTCTAAACCAGGACTAAACCAGGTCTAAACCAGGTCTAAACCAGGTCTAAACCAGGACTAAACCAGGACTAAACCAGGTCTAAACCCTGCTGGACCTCCTGCACCATCAGTCTGTGAAAACATTGTCCTGAAACCATCACCGACACAACTGACACTAAACGCACCGACAGGATTTAGAAAGTTCATAAACTCTAATCCCAAACCAAAAGTGAGAGGAAAGAGTTAAACATTTCAGATTTAACCTAAAAGTCTGATCACTTCTACACCTGGAGGAGCCGTGAAGTCATGGAAAAGTTTTGATATTTCGTCAGTGTAAAAGAGGAAACCCTGAAGTCAAATCTGAACTCATTTCTCTGAGTCGTCGGTCGTTTTCTGCTCAAACGGGACAAATCCAACACACACACGTCGACGTTTAACGATTAAATGTGACTTGTTCCTCCTCTTCTGCCTCGGGAGCTCAAATCGACGACATTTAAAGTGGAAGACGCTCGGGGCTCGTGCAGGAGCAGCAGACGCCGCGACGCAGGAGTTAAAGGAAACGAAGCGGCAGATGAAGGAGCAAAGAAAACCAGCGAGAAACGAAACGTGGAAAGACAAGAGAAATGACGTCAAATACAGTGTTGGGAAGTTTCCTTTTAAAATGTAATCCCCTACAGATTACAGATTACACACCCCAAAATGTAGTTTGTAACAGAATCCATTAAATTACTTAAAGTGAGTAATGTAATCTGATTACTTTGGATTACTTGATTTGCTGTAGAGAAACAAATATGGAGTGAAGAAGCTGTCAAAAATATTTGTGCGCATAAAATAGAAATCCGTGCATATTTGGCTGTAGTTGTGCATAAAATAAATATGTGTAAACTCTCAAATGAGTCCAGTCGTACATAAAATATATTGTGTGTATTTTATCCATCAGAATAAGAATTGAAAAATTACGACGTCAAGAATTACAATCACCAAATGAACATTTACAATTACACTTTCATCAGTACGAATACGAATTCACAGACGGAACTTTACTGTCAAAAATACGTCATCACTTCACAGACATTATTCATCGAGCAGAAGAAACATCGATCAAGATCAAGACTGAGCAGCTCAAGTTTGTATCAGAGTAAAAACAGAGTAAAAGCACAAGAAGCTACAACAGAACAACAAGTGGGTTCATTAAAATCTATTGTAAAAATGTCTTGAATTCAGGAACCGAACGCTGCTGTATAATATTGTGTAGAAACACCTCCTCTGAACGGGAAACTGCACCTATATGTTAGAAAACATAGTGGAGCCAGTTGGAAACATCAGACGTAACGTTCTCCCAGGATCATTAACAAATATCAGGTTCTCTGTGTGTTTAGATTAAAACATTCACGACTCCAGCCACAGCGAACATCAGTCAGTCTGAACCTTCAGCTGCATTTCTCACATGAAATGCCACCAAAAGTTCCTCTGGACGCTGAAATGTCCCAGTTTACACCAAACACCAAACTGTCCTGGTTACAGACGTCACAGCCAATGAAATGTTCCACATTAGTTTAATGCAGCTTCAGCATCAATTAATGTTCGTGTTTACAGGCAACACCTTGGTATGTTTACAGTATTTACCGTAAGTTTAACGTCACCGTGAGGTGGATGGATTTGCTAATTATAACCCATTATAACTCATGTATAACCCATTATAACTCATGTATAACCCATTATAACTCATGTATAACCCATTATAACTCATGTATAACTTATAACCCATTATAACTCATGTGTATAACCCATTATAACACATGTATAACCATTATAACTCATGTATAAAACCCATTATAACTCATGTATAACCCATTATAACTCATGTATAACCCATTATAACACATGTATAACATTATAACATGTATAACCCATTATAACTCATGTATAACCCATTATAACTCATGTATAACCCATTATAACTCATGTATAACCCATTCATGTATAACCATTATAACTATATATATATATATATGTCATTGTCTGAAATGCAGCTGAAGGTTCAGACTGACTGATGTTCGCTGTGGCTGTAGTCGTGAATGTTTTAATCTAAACATACAGAGAACCTGATATTTGTTAATGATCCTGGGAGAACGTTACGTCTGATGTTTCCAACTGGCTCCACTATGTTTTCTAACATATAGGTGCAGTTTCCCGTTCAGAGGAGGTGTTTCTACACAATATTATACAGCAGCGTTCGGTTCCTGAATTCAAGACATTTTTACAATAGATTTGAATGAACCCACTTGTTGTTCTGTTGTAGCTTCTTGTGCTTTTACTCTGTTTTTACTCTGATACAAACTTGAGCTGCTCAGTCTTGATCTTGATCCATGTTTCTTCTGCTCGATGGATAATGTCTGAAGTGATGATGTATTTTTGACAGTAAAGTTCCGTGTGTGAATTCGTATTCGTACTGATGAAAGTGTAATCGTAAATTTTCATTTCGTGATTTTAATTCATGACGTTGTAATTTTTCAATTCGTATTCTGATGGATAAAATACACACAATATATTTTATGTACGACTGGACTCATTTGAGAGTTTACACATATTTATTTTATGCGCAACTACAGACAAATATGCACAGATTTCTATTTTATGCGCACGAATATTTTTGACAGCTTTTTACTCCATAAACAAAGACGAGGAAATCTTCACATGAGAAGTTTTATCTGATAAAAGAAAATAAAAAGTCCAGATTTTACTGAACCAAATTAAAAATATTATTGATAAAAGACGAAGAAACACGTCCACACAGCAGGATTTAGTCCTGTTCAATCCTGGTTTACTCCTCGTTTAATCCCAAAATGTGAAACAGTAAAATCCCTCTGTTTAATCCATTTATTTCAACAAAGTAACTGTAATCCAATTACCACTCACTGAAACAGTAACTGTAACTGAATACAGTTACTCATCATTTGTACTCTGATTACTCTGGTACATGTAATCTGTTACTCCCGACACTGGTGGTGGAGGTTTTACCGCGAGTCCGAACGAGTGACCGGCCGCTCGCTCTCGTCGTTATCCCGTTTACATCACTCAGCCCCGTGACCGCGTGTGCCGAGCCGAGCGTTTCCCCGGCCCCTGAGCAAGACACCTCCCCCACAGAGACAGGACGCTGCGCCGGGACGAGGGGCGGGGGGCGAGGGGCGGGGCGAGGGGCGAGGGACGAGGGCTGGGGGGGGCGAGGGACGAGGGGCGAGGGACGGGGGACGGGGACTGGGGGGGGGCGACACAGTTTCCATCGATTCTGCTCGAAGCTCATCAAAATAATCCATAGGCAGAAAGAGACTGAACCAGAAACTAGAACAGGAAGAGGAAGAGGAGAAACTCACACTGACACTGGAAAAAAAAGAAAAGAAAGAAAAGAAAAGAAAAGATAAACCCGCGTTCGACTCAGTGAAGAGGAAAACTGGACCTTTCCCTGACAGTTTGATTGACACTTCAGGGTTTTGTTGATGTTTGTGGGTTTGGATTTGTTCATGGACCATCTCTCTCTCTCTTTTTTTTTTGCTCTCACTCATCCCTCTATCTCTGCCCTCACTTATCCCCACCTCCCTCTCATTACTCATCCATCTCTCCCTTCACTTATCCCTCGTTCCCTCCCTCTGCCCTCACTCATCCCTCTCTGTTTGTCCCTCCTTCCCTCTCTCTCTCTCTCTCTCTCTGTCCCTCACTCATCCTTCTCTCTCCTCATTCATCCCCTTCTCTCTGCCCCCTCCCTCTCTCTCTCTCTCTCTCTCCTCTCACTTATCCCCCTCTCTCGTCACTCATCCCTCCCTCGCTCTCGCTCCCCTCACTTATCCCTTTCTCTCCTCTCACTCATCCCTCGCTCTCTGTCCCTCCTTCCCTCTCTCTCTCTCTCTCTCTGTCCCTCACTCATCCCTCTCTCCTCACTCATCCCCGTTTTTCTCTCTCTCCTCATTTATCCCTTTCTCTCTGCCCCCTCCTCTCTCTCTCTCTCTCTCTCTCTCTCTCTCTCTCTCTCTCTCTCTCTCTCTCTCCTTTGCCCTCACTCATCCCTTTTTCTCCGCCCTCCCCATCCCTCTCTCCCCTCACTCATCTTTCTCTCTCTCCTCACTCACCCCATTCTCTCTTTCTACACACTCATCCCTCTCTCTCTTCTCTCACTTATCCCTTCCTCTCTCTTTTTGCCCCCACTCATCCCTTTTTCTCTGCCCTCCTCTCTCTCTCTCTCTCTCTCTGTCCCTTACTCTTACTCATCCTTCTCTCTCCTCACTCATCCCCGTCTTTCTCTCTCTCTTCAATTATCCCTTTCTCTCTTCCCCCTCCCCCTCTCTCTCCTCTCACTCATCCCTCGCTCCCTCTCCTCTTTCTCTCTCTCCTCACTCATCCCTCTTTCTCCACACTCATTCCTCTCTCTCTCTCTCTCTCTTTGCCCTCATTCATCCCCTTCTCTCTGCCCTCCCTCCCTCATCCCTCACTCATCCCCCTCTCTTTCTCTCTCTCTGTTTCTGTGTGGTGCAGTTGCAGATCAAACACACAGTGACCGAGGCCGAGATCCAGAAGCTCAAGAACAAGGTAAGATCTTCATCCGCGTCAGGACTTTGATGTTTGAACGTTCCTCGACTTCTTCCTGTCCTGGACCTTGTGTTTTAGGACTTAGACCAGGTTCGGTCTTCAGCCTGACGAGACCAGATCTGGTTTTTACTCCCCTCTGCTCCTGTAGCTTTGAACGACACAGATCCAGTTTTTTCAAATGTGACTTCAGACTGTAGGTTAGATGATCATGAGTGTGTTCAGTGTTTACAGAAGTGACCTGAACCTGGACGCAGCATCGACCTGGAGACTTGAAATCTGCTGTGGAACCGGAGCCAGAACATGAACAGATGATTTGTTTTAAGGACGAGACCGAGAAGGAGAAGGACGAGGGTTTTGCTCGTGGTGTTTTGTAGAAACGATGGTGTGTGTGCGGTGGGGATGGGCAGGATTAGTCGATTAATCGATAATTGATCATTAAGAATTTCATCGATTACGTTCATGTTAATCGACAAACCGAATGTATGTTTCTGTGCGTAGCGTAGGGACCAAACAGGTGTGGACATGTGTCTCTGCATCAGAAGGAGACACAAACAGTGGGTCAGTCTGTAACCTGCTGAAGTGTAAATGTGAACCATGTGCAACGATGATTTGTAGAAGAAATTCCACACTTTCCGTTGCGTTGGGACAAGTGTGAGTCCATGTGCACAGTGGATAAAGCAGCACATATGTTTCTGTGTCCAGTGGGAAAAAGTTTTTCCAGGTGAGAGTCGCTCAATGTGGATGACGAGGCCCCGCCCCCCTCCCCCCGTACGCTGTCCTGGTTTTGACAAACACAAATCTGGTCACACTGACCTGTATTCACCTGAGTCATGTCTTTTAATCCAACACAAGTTGAACCACATCAGCGACACAAGAGCTGGAGTTTTATCTTCACTTAGTTTATGTAAATTAGTGATGTGGTTTTAAGTTTTGTTTCTGTGAGATTTGAACAAAACTGAATTAAACACATTATAATGTCAAACAGCTGATGTGGATCTAGAGTCGTTATGTTTATATGTCGTAAAGTTGAATTTATTGATGCAGATTAGTGCAGATAGAAATAATAATGATGATCATTTTAATATAAAAACATTAATGATTAATCGATAATCAATCGTTAATTCTTCCGACGATCGATTAAGAAAATTTCATCGAATGCCCGTCCCTAGTGTGCAGAGTCTCAGAGTGGAGGGATCGATCTGAGCTTCACTGTTTCGTCTGACCAGAAGAACGTTTGTGAACGTTTGTGAATGTTTGTGAACGTTTGTGAGCTCCGACTTGCTGCTCTCGCACGAGGAAACACGTCTTCAACCTTCTTCAGGGAGCAGACGCGTTGGTGTTGGGCTGTTCTGTCTCGCAGCAGCTGCTTGTGAACGTGTTCTTCTGACGCGGAGGTGGATGAATTCAGACTCAAGTCACATGTTCAAGATCAGATCTGTTTGGGGTTTAGGACAGATCCAAGTGTCCTGGGTCACGTTTGAAGAAAATCAGATGTGTGTGGTTCAGACGTCATTAAAAGATCAGATACAGGAGCAGAGGGACGGAAAAATCAGATTTGGTCACTTCAGGCTAAAGTCTGAACGTAGCGTTGGATCTGTGCTCCTGAAACCCAAACATATCTGAACTTTAGACCTGCGACTTCAGTCTGAACGTCCAGGTCGTGTTCATCCACCTCCACGTCATCAACAAGACAAACGTCACTATTAAGGATTCATGTGTGTCGTGTCAGTCATTTGATTTAATGTTTTGGTGGTTGTACTGGAGGTCAGGACTGTGAATATTCAGTTCAAATATAATCACGGCGACTTTAAACAGAACAAACGACATGAAACTGTGTGAAATCTCCAGCTCGTTAGAGAAGTTTGAAGCTGAAGTCGTCCTCTGGGTTGTGGAACTGATCCTGATCTAATCCCGATGGAGTTTTATCAGTTTAATGTGTAAACCTTTGGTATCTGCAGTATTTCATGTTCGATCTTCTTTCATAGAAAATAAACAAATGTTTTGTTTTGTCTTTCACTGGTGACGAGGTGAACGTGAAGAATGACGGGACATAATCTGATCAAAGTGGGTTAATATTTTACACACCTCCGAGAAAAAAATACTTTTGGCATCAATCATTTCATTTATAGTCCAGTTCCTTATATACTTCTGTGGGAATGTTGGGGGATTTGCTAAACTATATATTTTTGGAAAGGTTATAGTTTATGGAGTCAGAAAATCAATGTTTGCATTTGTCCACATGTCCATATGGCGGCCATATTGAATTTAAAAAAAATCTAATTTTGGAAGATCTCAGCCTCTGAATAAGTTGAAATGTTGATTTTAACTAAACCCACATTTTCAGGGTCAGAGAATCAAATGGTGCGAGTTACAAAGATATAAAACCTACTCACATGAACCTTAGACCAGAAGAGTCAAACTCATTTTGTTCCGGGGGTCGTGTCCAAACGACTTTGATCCAAAGTGTCTGGATCAGAAAACTCAAGTCATATAAACCCCAAAAATAACAAGAAGTTCAAATATTTGTGCAGAGAAACACAAATCTATTACACAAATCTTTTTTAATTGATGAACTCTTTCTTTTACAAAATATTATAATATTATGAACAACCTGAAAGTTTAAGAAAAACGTGATTTCAACACAAAGTTTGAACATGAACTTGTCTGTAAACAGGAATAAGTCAATTTTTGTTGTAAAATCCTGTTGAAACACATCAACAATATGAGTAAAACAAACTGTCATATCGACATGTGGACAAATGCAAACATTGATTTTCTGACTCCATAAACTATAACCTTTCCAAAAATATATACTTTAGCAAATCCACAGAAAATTCCCCCTAAAGTTAAAAAGTGAGAATAAGGAACTGGACGATTAGTGTAAATCTCTTCTTCTTTTGTGTCCCTCATCACAAATGAAATGTTGACTGACAAAACTCCATCCCTCTGTTTTTATGTCGATCTCCTTCTCTGTCTCCATCTTTATCAGCCGGGATCCGACAGATATTTTGTTCTCCTTCTTTATCAAACTGACTCAGAACATCCAGCAGCAACACAGCTCAAAACTATTGTTATTCAATTCAGATTTTCTCTCACACAAATACGACGCGTTGGTCCAGACGGAGAGTTTGACTCCGATGCGGCGACAGAAACATCAGGTCACGTGGTTTTGTGACGTAGACGCAGAAAGACACAACCACAGCACAAAACGCCACGACCAAAAACCTTGTTCACCTCGATCTCCTCCTTAAAACAAATCATCTGTTCATGTTCTGGCTCCGGTTCCACAGCAGCTTTAAAATCTCCAGGTCGATGCTGCGTCCAGGTTAAGGCGACTTCTGTAAACACTGAGCACCTTTAACATCATGTGGTTTATTTGGTGGAATCGTAAACTTTCTGACTTGTGTTCAAACATTTGTCTCGTGTAGAGTCTGATTTAAGCGTCTTGAGGTTTGCACGTGCTTCCGTAGATCGCGTGGTCTTCACTTCCCGTTGACGTTCCGCTGGTTTGAGATCGGTTCTTTTGGTCGTGTTGCAGTTGGCGTCGGTGGAGCGCGAGAAGCAGCGCTGGGAGAAGGAGAAGAGCCAGCTGAAGGCCAGCATCGAGGAGAACAAGGAGAGGATGCTGAAGCTGGAGAGCTACTGGATCGAAGCCCAGACGCTGTGCCACACGGTCAACGAACATCTGAAGGAGGCCCAGGCCCAGTACCAGGCCCTGGAGAAGAAGTACAGCAAGGCCAAGAAGCTCATCAAGGACTACCAGCAGAAGTAAGAACCACCGCTTTTCATTCAGGAGAAACACAAGAGCTTCAAGTATCAGATTTTATGGGCAATTTTTAATTTTTGGGACGGACTTGATTAAAAAAAAAAATCTAATTAATGACAGGTTTTGTAATGAATTAACCTCAATTAATCACATGACAGTATTTGCCCCTAAAGCAACATTTATTTTATGTTAATTAATTTTATTGGACGACTTCATCAAATAAAACACACAAACACTTTTAAACTCGAGCTCTTTTAGTGTCTGGAGAAATGTCTTGAAAAAATAAACTGCATTTCATTTCAAAATAGTCGACAAAAGTTAAAGTCCTGATCCAAAACTGAAGAGACTAAAGTTAAAGTGACATTTTACTTTGAGTCGTTCTTTTCTGAACGTCGTGTTTGTCTTGACTTCTTGACATAGTGCAAGTGGTTAAAAAAAATAATAATAAAATTAACATAAAGTGCAATTTCTAATGATTATGCTGAAAATCCCTTGAGCACAGATGATTTTTTTGCACATTTGGCTAAAAGTTTGGTCAAATTTTTCAGATTTTGCTTAAAGGCAAAGTAAAGCTTTGGGAGGATGTTTCGTGGAACATTTAAATGTCGTCGTAGTGTTGAGGAGCGTCTGTCATAAGAAACTCTTTTCTGCACAGTTTGCAATAAATGACGCCTTTGTCGATCAGGTCATTTTTTTTTTTTTTTATAAAAATGTCCCGTCAGCAGAACCTGAGGATTTCCTGCTCCACTGTGTGAACTGTGTGCGTCAGTGTAATTGTCGAACCACGACATGGAGCACCGACAAATGTTCCATGTTCTTTGGCAAACTGTGATAAATTATGTTAATGTTTTTAATGCATCATTTTCTTTGACATTAATTAATCATAATTAATGTGCTAATGTCTCACCCCTGATTAAATTACAAATATCTATAAGTTATTATTTTTCATAAAACGTCCAGGTTCCTCTCGACGCTGGTGGTTCTTCACAGTTGAGTTCAGGTCTGTTTCTGCTCCTCAGGCTCAAACCTGCAGGAGAAACACTCCACCTGGACCAGAGGTGTTCACACTTTTTCATCATGTGAGCTTCTTACAAAATGACCAAGTCAAAATCATCTACCTGATACAAAGTCAAACAAACTGCACTGAAACACTCTGTGCCCCTTTTTTGGACCCTCCCCCACAGTTTGAGAACCTCTTCTTTAAGAGAACTTCCTCTGACACTTTACACAAAACTGTGAAAAAAGTGAAGGAAGATTTTTAAACCTGTTTTTTTAAAGTTCCAAACTGGAGTTTCATTCTTTTGTGGTTTTGCAGTGATATTTACCAGCCTCTGCACGTTTACCAAACCAAACACACATCGTGACAAACACAGATGCATTTGTCACTTTTGTTAGACAAACTTCAGTCAAATGTGGCAGTAGGTCTGTTCTGTAGATCCGCTCTATGCTGTAGACCTGCTTTGTGCCAACACTGGAACACAAATTTAGACTGGTTTTTGCTTCACGTTTGGTCTTGTTCTTCTAATCAGCCGCACTGTGGGAGGGGCTTGTGTTGGCTGTACGCAGGAAGGAGCGAGAGCGTGAAAAGGCGAGGGGCGGCGTGCTGACGTGAGGCAGGTGGACAGGTAGGATGTTTAGGAAGTTGAACCTGCCCTGTGATGCACGCTGGTACACGAGGGCACACGCTGTCGCAGACGAGCCGTGCATAGGGAGCGTGTGTGTTTGTGATGCGCCGTAGAGTCTCCGCGGGTTTCAAATGAGCGCACAGGCTGCACTGAGACGCCCCACACGCTCCTGCACCCGCTACAAGTACTACTACTACTACTGAGTACTACAACAGGTTCCTATTATTACCAACAGCAGCGGCCGGAATCAAATATGATCACACTTGTTGAGTGTCAGACCTCGAGTGAGAGACAAGACCGAGTCCAAACACGAGTCCGAGACGAGACACGGAGATCTACCCACACGACCTTGGTGATCGACTGGTGGATCAAGATCGACGTATTGAGCACCACTGGTTTAGACTGACAGATCCTCTTGAACTGATCTTAACTCTAGCACTTCACCTGGTCTCGTCCAGTCGGGGTTTACAGAGACACGTTTGAAACTGATCACATTTGGACCCATGTTGAAAGTAAATCCTGAAAAATCCATTTCAGATCTTGCATTTAAATTCCTTTTGAGTCAGTGTCTTTATAAATCCAAGTGTAAGAATAGAAGAACTTTCCTTTTAAGTTCATGTTGTGATGAAATAAATAAATACAGATGAACATAAGTCATTTTCAGTGGTAGTAATGTCCTGAGAAACCAGTGTAAACATGTGAGTGTCAGTGGTGTGTGTGTCGTGCACAGATCAGATCAGATCAGCAGAAGAGAGTGTGTGGGCGGGGTTAAAGGTCAAACTCAAACGTGCTCCTGACTCACGGCTCAAAAACAGAGCTGGGCTTTTCTCGTTTGATGGGATCAGGTCAGAGAGGCGTTCAGAGGAGACTTATATTTATGGATATCGCAGATGTCAATGTGAGAAAACATTTTAACAACCAACTGAGCAGAGAGAAACGACTCGAGCTCAGACCAGTGTGAGCGGCTCAAACAGAGAGAGAGACTTTATCCTCTGAGATGATGGACAATCTGAACATCTCTCACTCCTGTCGCCTCCTGAAACCCTGTGCTTTAAAAAGACAGGTCCTGTTATAAGAAAAAACACCATCACATCACATCACTCCACACTAAACTCTCCACTTCACACTTTACACCACGTGGAACAGCTTCGTCCATGAGCTCTGCACAGTCACTTTTAAACATCCTGTTCCTGATTTTATTTATTCTTGTCGATCAAAATGAACTTTACATCCTGCACCAAAGATAAAATACTGAATCTCCCTGAAAGATGTTTTCTTTTGTAAAAACCTCAGCATCACATAGAGCAGGTTCATGGTTCATCTGAACATTTTAAGATCAGAGTGACGAGTGTCACAGCAGCAGGAGCAGACAGAGCAGAGCTGTGGTTTAAGTGTGACTGAGTCTGAGTCACAGCAGCAGAATCATCCAGGCCCCTGATGCAGCTTTATCAGGGATCTCCAATGTTTTTTCCTCCACTGAGCTACTTTTACTAAATGAAAATGCCAGAGAGCTGCCTGCCCCTCAACAAGAAGTTGAGTATATTTAAGATCCTCAGCAAAGCTTAGGCAAAGAACATCAGCAGATGCCTGGAAAACATGAAGCATTATCCATTTTTCAGTGCACAAAGTCAGGCATCAAAACAATACATTTACAATGGTAATTAATCAAATTTTACTTATTCAGCATAACACATAGATTCATAAGTCCCTTGGTGAGTTACTCTGAAGGGGTGGAGAGCTGCTGGTAACTCCTGAGATACAGGTTGGAGAGACTATGAGCACACAGGCTGGTCTGTAGGTCTGTAGGTCTGTAGGTCTGTAGGTCTGAGGATGGAGATGGAAATGGGACAGATGATTTTCTGAGCCTCCATTTCTGTTCAGAGATGGAGTCTTTCCTAACAAAAACAGCCTCTTTGATTGTGTAGGTTCCTGGCAACATGTTTTAAAGAACCGCACAGAACTTTTCAACCAGAAATGATAGAAACGTTCCCTTAAAACGCGGAGAGTTGTGGCTTTCAGAGCATATTTCCGGCATTCTCCTATTGTCCTACGCTGTGTGACGACGTCGGGAAAATGAGTGTCAAAAAGGCTCTGTTCACGTTTACGTCACAAACCAGGAAAACGTTTGGAAACCTGCGGTGAAACTTCAGGTGTATTTCCCGACTCTGGACTCGAGCGACTGAGAACAAACCCACTGAAGTAAAAGTGCTCAGAGGTAAAATGAAAACTTATGAACAACATATGTGCTGTTTGAATCATCTCGTCGCTTCTCATCACATGGACCAGTGCACTCGGAGTCGTGCGTCGGCCGTGCGTCGGCCGTGCGTCGGCCGTGCGTCGGCCGTGCGTCGCCGTGCGGCCGTGCGTCGGCCGTGCGTCGGCCGTCGTCGTGCGTCGCCGTGCGTCGGCCGTGCGTCGGCCGTGCGTCGGCCGTGCGTCTAAAAAAATTTTAGTTTTTATTACAGTCACATGACACGAGTCCAGCAGCAGATTGTGAAATAACAGGTTGTAGAGAAAAAGGATGTAGAACATTTCATTAGGAGGTAAAAGGAGGAGTTTTAAACACAAACATAAGAAAAAAGGACAAATGTAGTAAAATTGCCCTTTGGTCTGGAGGGTTTAACTCTTTTGTCAAATCGTTTCTTTTCTGTGGCTCAGATTTGTCCCTCACTGTCCTCAGAGGAGCGTCCAGGGGCTTTGAGGTGGAGGTGCACAGCAGACTGAGGTCCGCTGCTGCGCTCTCGTCTGTGCCGCTGCATCGTCTTGTGAACTTTTGTTGCAGAATGAACAGAAGTTGTGTCGTGTGTCCTGATGTCACACGAGGACGACTCGACTTTTGAAATGAAACAGGTGGACCTGGCTCCAGTGTCAATGAAAAATAAAGAACACAAGGAGGCAAGGGGGAGACTAGAGGTGTGCAAAATATCAAAATATCGATATATCAGATGGTTTAATGTGATGATTCAGTATCAATATCATGTTCTGCTGTATCGATATATCGCCAAGAGGATTTTTTTGGTTTATTTGACTAAATTATTTAGTTCCAGCTCCATTTTGTTTGTTCAGAAGGAAACTCATTTATGCGACACATTTGACATTTTCAATGTTTTGACGATTAAAATGTTTGTGTTTCATATGAACTTTGCACAAGAAGAAGTGATTTAACAACAACTTGAAGTGTCACAGACATGATTTAGACTTTATTTTTACTGAACTGTATCAAATCGATTTGAAGTCATCATCATCTTTATTCCTCATGGTCCATTTTTAAAACAGAAAAGGACAGTGACATTACAAAACAACAAATATTTATGTTTTTAAAAGAACCACACCAGTGTTTCCTCATGTTGGACTGATGTCTCATATTTGTGACTGACGTTATTATTTCATTGTCTAATTTGTTCAGTCTGTAGATTAAACTGTACATTAAAGTTCTCAGTGGAGCTGCAGTTTTCACTCGTGCAGTAACAAACATCAGTCACACTCGTCCATCGTGGCTCCTCAAACACAGTGACAGTGACGACAGTGGCTCAGTAGGTTGAGCGTTTGTCTCCTGATGTGAAGGTTGGCGGTTTGTCTCCCACTCTTGACATAAACATCATTGGTTGAGTGTCAGATCCACTGACCCACAGGAGCTGGTGTGATTCCAGCTCCTACAGATGAATGCTGTTGTTGTGTCCTTGGGCAGGACACTTAACCCACCTCACCCCCAGTGTCTGTGTGTGAGTGTGTGAGTGGTTCCTTGTTGTAAATCACTTTGAGCCTGAAGGTCTGAATGTAGACTTATGTGGATAGGTCTAAAAACTCAAACGTGTGTGTGTGTGTGTGTGTGTGTGTGCGTGTGTGTGCGTGTGTGTGTGTGTGCGTGGTGTGTGTGCGTGTGTGTGTGCGTGTGTGTGTGTGTGCGTGTGTGTGTGTGTGCGTGTGCGTGTGTGTGTGTGTGTGCGCAGGGAGGTGGAGCTGCTGCAGAAGGAGGATGCAGAGCGCAGGAGACTGGAGGAGGCTGAGAAGGCTCATCTGGCCGAGATCCAGGGTCTACAGGTCCGGGTAAGTAAACCTCTGCTGCGCACACACACACACACACACACCTGTACAACTCTACACACACACCACACACACACACACACCTGTCCAACTCTACACACACACACACACCTGTCCAACTCTACAAACACACAAACTGCTCAAAAGCCACAAAAATCCTGCATTTTGAACTCTGTTGATGTCTAAAAAATTGTGAGGTCAGACTTCAGCAGATGATTATAATATTTGGCAGTATCGGTTCTTCCTCAAATGAGTATCGAGTATCAGTAGTTTTGATATCAGTCTGAGCATCGATCAGTGTCTGACTTTAAAAACATTTGACAAAGCCGCAGGTCTTTTGTGACGGGGACGAGTTAAAACACGTCGGTCTTTTCTCGTCTCGTCGTTTGTTTGTGGTGATTCTTCTTCTCGTGTATCATGTGCTCGTCCTCCAGCCCCCGTCCGCACAGCCCCGTCCGCAGCGCCCGTCCGCAGCGCCCGTCCGCAGCGCCCGTCCGTAGCGCCCGTGCAGCGCCCGTGGGCCGAGCGCCTTCTCATGTTACATAAGTGTCTGCTGGACGCTTTTGTCAAGTGTGACGCAGGAAACACTTTCCTCCACTCACGGCCTGGTGCTCGCTTCACACGTTGAGGGGCAGGAGGGGGCAGGGGGGGCAGGAGGGGCAGGAGGGGGCAGGAGGGGGCAGGAGGGGGGCAGGGGGGGCAGGAGGGGGGCAGGAGGGGGCAGGAGGGGGCAGGGGGGGCAGGGGGGGAGGAGGGGGCAGGAGGGGGGCAGGAGGGGCAGGAGGGGGGCAGGAGGGGGCAGGAGGGAGGGGAGGAGGGGGCAGGAGGGGGCAGGAGGGGGGGGAGGGCAGGAGGGGCAGGAGGGGGCAGGAGGGGGGCAGGAGGGGGCAGGAGGGGGAGGGGGGCAGGAGGGCAGGAGGGGGAAGGAGGGGGGCAGGAGGGGGCAGGACGGGGCAGGAGTCATTGGGGGGGGTCAGGAGGGGGGCAGAGGGGGCAGGAGTCATTGGGGGGGTCAGGAGGGGGCAGGAGGGGGCAGGAGTCATTGGGGGGGGTCAGGAGGGGGCAGGAGGGGGCAGGAGTCATTGGGGGGGGTCAGGAGTGGAGCGTCCTCTGCTCAGACCAGTGCACTTTCTCCCAGTGTCACATGTCACAGCCTGAACCAGTTAAACAACAGTTTTATTTGATTATTTTATATTCCAACCGTCAGAGTCCAAACCCTCGTCCTTCTGTCTCGGAGCTTCAGGATGAAGTCCCTGAAATGGTTTTCACTTCAGCTTTCACAGCTGAACCTCAGGGTGACCGAAGCAAAGGGGAAAGGCAGTTTTTTTTTTTGCTTTGCTTTTTGAAAGACCCATAAAAATTCATCACTAATTATTTTGCACATAAACAAAATGATCTTTAAAAACACACATTTGTGACTTAATTCTGCCGTTTCTCTCATCTCACTCTCCAAAAGAAAAACAATACAAGAGATTTGTGAACTTGTTTCAATTGTGTTTTCTCTTTTGGACATTTTATAAACTTCAAATCACAACTGTTAAAACTTTGATGTGAATTCTTCACCAACTCATCACTTTGTTATTTTATTTCATTTATTTTTATTCAGAAAATGAAAAAATGAAAAATTGTATTTTTTTGTGTAAAAGAAGCGCCGCACTCTGCGTCTGCACGTCACTGGAGCAAGTTTTAACATTTAGATCAAAAAGACTCGACGCTGCCCAAAGTGTCACCCACATAAACAAGTGCGCCCCCTGTGGGCTGCAGCTGGAAGTGCACAGTCCTGGTTTGTGCTCCGGGCCCCGGGCCCCGGGCCCCAGGCTCCGTGCACAGGAGCAGGGAAACACCTGTGTGATCTGTCATCAGAGCCGGAGGAGCAGGACCACGCCTCCTTCACTTTCAACAGTCAATATTTAAATCTTTAATCCTTCCTCTTTGTCAAAGTCAAAATTCTTGAAATTCCAAATCAGAACAAACAGAATCACACAACAGAGTTTTGTCCAGCACCTTTATTGTGTTCATGCTCCTCATGACAGATTCATTCATTCATGTATTTATACAGAACCTTTCAAGATCCACAGAACACGTCACAGATCATTATTCACTCACTCAACACTCGGTGCTCCTCTGTTCTCCTCTGTTCTCCTCTGTTCTCCTCTGTTCTCTCTGTTCTCCTCTGTTCTCTCTCTGTCTCTCTCTCTGTTCTTCTCTGTTCTCCTCTGTTCTTCTCTCTGTTCTCTCTGTTTCTTCTCTGTTTCTCTGTTCTGTTCTCCTCTGTTCTTCTCTGTTCTCTCTGTTCTCTCTCTGTTCTCTCTGTTCTCTCTGTTCTCTCTCTTGTTCTCCTCTGTTCTCCTCTGTTCTCCTCTGTTCTCCTCTGTTCTCCTCTGTTCTTCTCTGTTCTCTCTTGTTCTCCTCTGTTCTTCTCTCTCTTCTCCTCTGTTCTCCTGTTCTCTCTGTTCTCCTCTCTGTTCTCTGTTCTCTCTGTTCTTCCTCTGTTCTTCTTCTCCTCTGTTCTTCCTCTGTTCTCCTCTGTTCTCTCTGTTCTCCTCTGTTCTTCTCTGTTCTCTCTCTGTTCTCCTCTGTTCTCCTCTGTTCTCCTCTGTTCTCCTCTGTTCTCCTCTGTTCTCCTCTGTTCTTCCTCTGTTCTCCTCTGTTCTCTCTCTGTTCTCCTCTGTTCTTCTCTGTTCTCCTCTGTTCTTCTCTGTTCTCCTCTGTTCTCCTCTGTTCTCTCTGTTCTGTTCTCCTCTGTTCTTCCTCTGTTCTCTCTGTTCTCTTCTCCTCTGTTCTTCTGTTCTCCTCTGTTCTTCTCTGTTCTCTCTGTTCTTCTCTCTTCTTCTCTGTTCTTCTCTGTTCTCCTCTGTTCTCCTCTGTTCTCTCTGTTCTCCTCTGTTCTCCTCTGTTCTCCTCTGTTCTCCTCTGTTCTCCTCTGTTCTCTCTGTTCTCCTCTGTTCTCTCTCTGTTCTCTCTGTTCTCTCTGTTCTCTCTGTTCTCCTCTGTTCTCCTCTGTTCTCTCTCTGTTCTTCTGTTCTCCTCTGTTCTCCTCTGTTCTCCTCTCTGTTCTCTTCTGTTCTCCTCTGTTCTCCTCTGTTCTCCTCTGTTCTTCTCTGTTCTTCTCTGTTCTCCTCTGTTCTCCTCTGTTCTTCTCGTGTGCAGATGTGTGGGTCTCTCACTCTTCTTCTTTCTTCTCGTGTGCAGATTTCCACTCTGGAGTCGGAGTTGGTGCAGCTGATGAAGCAGAACGGTCTGCAGGTCAACAATAACAACAGTAACATGTCGGAGCGGCAGGCGGCTCAGAGCAGCGCGAGGACGCCCCCTGCAGGTGTGTGCTGAGAACTACAGCTCCTGTCAGAAGAAGAGCTGAGTCAGGAGGAGGTTCAGTTCTAGAAAGAACCATCTGTTTTAAATAAGTCATGAGGACAGATGTGGTGAATATTTATATTTATCACAGTTTTACTTCAGTCAAGTGTCTGTTTATAAAGAAAAGTCAAAGACAAATCTATAAATGAATCCTTCTGTCTGTTGTGACGACTCGTCCAAAGAGAAAAACCTCGTGCACATGGAGCAGTTTTAGTTTTATTGTCTTACATGTTTATTTCCTGTCCCCTGTGTAAATGGCGGCAGTGGGGGATTATGGGTAATGAACGACACCGAGTCGCTTTTGGAGTTTAGTTTTTTTACTTTAAATGAAATCCTAGACAGTTTTTTTATTTTAAACCAAATCAGATTAAAGTGAGTGACCTTCACCTGCACATGTGTGATTTATTTAATTTTTATTTTACTTTTTAAAACTTTTAACAAATGGACATAAAAGAACAAACTAGTGTTGTACTCAAGGCCGGTGTTGGTCTCAAACCCGGCCTCAAGACCGAATTGTTAGAGTCTTAGTCTTGTCTCGGTCTTGACCTGGTTTGGACTCAGTCTGGTTCAGATTCGAGGTTTGAAACTCGACGACTCTGATCATTTTTCACTACGGTCACTGTTGTTGGTGATTAGGAAAACAGGTTTAAAAATCCTCCCCACTTTCTTCACTTTGTTCACAGTTTTGTGTAAAGTGTCAGAGGAAGTTTCTCTGAAAGACGAGCTTCTCAAACTGTGGGGAGGGTCCAAAAAAAGGGCACAGAGTGTTTCAGAACAGAACAGTTTGGATCATTTACGTCTAAATGAACATTCATCAGATAGAATA